GATCCCAACATCTCTGCATCATGCTATTCAGGCCCTGTTTAGTCCCCTTCCACATTGCATCAGGGTGCATCTGTGTGATGAACAGAATGTGAGCAGGTTACCAAGAGAAAGGAAGAAGGCTGCAGGGGACAGAAGGTGACAGGGCTGTGTACTGGGGTGGAGCAACCTCTGAGTTAGTGGCTCACAGCCTACTCAGCGGTAGAAGGTGGAGCTTTCCAGACACCACCTCCTGATCAGGGGCTGATGGGAAATAGGGGTGAGGCTGTGGCTGCTGGTAGTTAAATCGCTGGTAGGCGGGGTATCTGGAAAAGCCTCCAGTTTTCCACATACAACTTGCTGGGGTAAAGCAGACAGCATCTGACCATGTCCCACTCTAAATTCATTCTCTCTCTTCTCTCTCTCTCTCTCTCTCTCTCTCTCTCTCTCTCTTTCTCTCTCTCTCTCTCTCCCTGCCATCCCTTTCCTCTCTAACATTGTAAACTCCAAAGACTATATCTACTAGTTGGGAAGGACTCATCTCTATAGCACCAGCTACCTGGGTTAATTTCCTCCTTGTATCTGGAGTGCTGTGCCCAATGAATGTCATGCCATTTTCTGGCACATGGGGATTCACATCTGTGTAAGTACCTAAGTTTAGCTAATCCTTTCAAGAAACTCAAATGGGGGCCTCCCTGGTGGTGCAAAGGGTTGAGATGCCACCTATGAAGCTGTCCAAAGCCACTGCAGCATGAGTTCAATCCCTGGCCAGGGAGCTACCCACATGGTGCAGCAGACCTCTCCTGACTCGCCTGCTGCTCCCCTCAGCAGTATATTTCTGTCAATCTACCTGTTCTGTTCCCCACTCTGTCTCTGATGAATCCTCTTACCCCTCCACACACACCTCTGGCCTGTACCCCAGTTCTTGTAAGCATAAATAAATAAATCTTAAAAAAAAAAAAAAAGAAACTCAAATGGACCTTCGCTGGCTTTCTGCTGAAGCTCCAGTATCTTACTAAACTCTCTGGTTTAGAATTTCCTGCCTCAGCCCTACTAATGAGTAGTTGGGACAGTGCTCTCACCTTTCTATCCCCCTATAACTGGGGTCCTAGTTAGGGTCTGGCACTAAGACAGTTTCTGGTTATGGGGTTTCTAGATCCTCCTGATGGAGATAATGAGCCTCTTCAGTAGCCTCCCTTAAAACCATCCCCACCCATCTGGGCATTAATAGCACATGTAACATGGATTGTATGTCTGCCCAGGTAGGAAAATGTGACATAAAAGTAGAGGCAAAAAAAAAAAAAAGCAAAGAAAGAAAGAGCCATCCTTTTGGGATCCTGCTGGTATGAAGGGATACAATTTCTTCAATTCAGGAGATCCCCAGTGGAAAGAGGAGTATGAGACCAATAGTCTCTGGCAGGTTGCCCTTGTTCATTCAATCAACTCACCAAACCTGGCAGAGGAAACTGTCCTATCCCAGGGTAGCGCCTTTTGGCTGGACAGGGTGTCCTATCTAGTATGAGAAGTAAAAGCCATTCTAGTCCTATCCTTCCCAGCCACATGGGAAGAAAAGCAATAGCAGGACTTATTTACATAGGGAGTGAGAAAAAAAAGGAGAGAGAAAATATTTACACTCTGACATATGACCAGATGCCATTTGTGCTACCCCAGATAGCATCCACTGAGCAGAGACCAAGGCCCATAAAGAAGCCCAGGGCAAGCTGGCAGCTTCTCCAGACACCCCATCTCACCAGTGGCTGAACTGCCGAAGCCCCAGCTGTACAATTGCCAAAACACCAGCAGTTCAACTTCCAAAAGCCCGGTAACTTTTAAATCATGAAAAGGCCCAGCTCAGCCCCGACTTCCTATCAGCCCCTGCTCAGGGGGTGGAGTCTGGAAAGCTCTACTTTCTACCATTGAGTTGACTATTAGCACCATCCGTCCACTGGGTTCTAGGTTCCTCCTCCCTGTTTCTCTTCCATGGAGATTTGGTGGAGAGGAGTGAGGTATGCACATATGTGGAGATATGAAGTTGTACTCCAAAATTTATATACTTATGGAGACAAGTGGCAAATCTAAAGAATAAATAAGAAAAGTGGAAGATAGTGGTGGTATATCACCTCCAAGGCTAGATAGTAAAAATTGTAGCTTCCATCCTCTTATCTTGATCTCCCTCTTTCTTTCTGCATCCCTCCCTCTGGCTTTGGAGGAAGCCAGCTGCCCACATCCTAACAAGCAGCATAGAGAAACCTACATATGGAAAAACCAAGGCCTCTTGTTAACAGGTATATCATGAACTTGGAAATGGATCCCCTAGCTCAAGCCTTCAGATGACCTGTGAAACTGACCAACAGCTGCAAACTCAAGAGAGGCCTTGAGCCAGAACCATCCAGTGAAACTGCTTCTGACTTCCTGAACCAGAGGAGTAATAATTCAGTTGCTGTTTTAAATCATTCAATTTTAGAATTCTTTATTATGCAGCATTAGATACCTAATATATCTAGTAAAAATAATAGTTCTCTTATCAAGTATATATTATATAAATTCAATAGTACTCAACAAAGCCTTAGTGCTTGCATCTGTAAATTTGATAGAAATTTCCCTAAATTTCACAACAATCCTATAATTCTCAAGACATTACCAATAAGTTGTGAAGTTGAATAGAAACTTTTCTAAACTATCGTTGATAAAATTGTTAAAGATGCCAGTTGAAAGACTGCTTTATATTTTCATTGTCTTTATAGAAATTATTACAAAACTGTCATTCAGCCAAATATATAGAAGACTGTTTCACAGGGGATTATAGCTATGTTAAGTTATGGCAAAAAAGTGACTTTGAGTTTCAAATGTATGTGGGACAGAGTTTTCAAATGTGCCATTTATTATTTCTTGTCCTAGTCTAAATAAATATTTACATTTGAGTCAAATTTTGCCTAATTTTGAATTGCTTTCCTAAAGAGCACTACCAAATCTTGGTTCTCACAATAGCCATCCTAAAGGTTTTGTCAGTTATTTACTGAAGCGGTCTAGAGATTGAAATTCATTTGGAATTCAAGGTGAGGTACAGTAGGAGGAACCGGGGATTATGCCTTTGGTTGAGACACTTGCTCCCTTATATACAAGGGCAAACACAGAGCCACCCCTGAGAATTCTTTTTGCATATATATGGGGGAGGTTACCCCAATGTGGGCTCTCCCTTGACCTTCAGAGGTTCTACCTCGTCTTAATAATCCCAAGCTTTTAACTTCTGCCCTCTTCAATGTTCCTATTGCTCCATTATTTTTTCGTTCCCCACTCAGGAGAGAATATGGAAACTGAAACGTGATTATTTCCTTCAATAAGGAACTGGTAAAACATATTGCAAAATAGCCTTACAGAGGTGTGAGCTGCTAAAAAGAATATGGTAGGCCTCTAAGCACTGATGACCATTGAAAGATATTTAAGATACATCACAAAGTAAAAAAAAAAAAAACCAACAACTGCATGACAATATACATAATTTTAGCCTGTTATCTTTAAAATACTGCATTTCATTTATTTTTTTAAAGATTTATTTATTTATGCATACAAGAACTGGGACACAGGTTTCATTTATTGTAAGATGCACCTTCTTTCAAATCTTTACATATTTGATCTTCGATCTTTGATCAATGATCTGTCAGGGCTTAATTGACCTGTCAGGGCTTTTACTTATTTTTTTTTTTTAAAGATAAGATACATCTTGCAATCTATAATACTTTGGACTTGATGACATGATAAAAGTACGCACAGCATACCAATCAGACCAGGACTGCAGTTTGAAAGCCTTAGGCTGGAAAGCCCTTTGTTTGAGAAGCCCTCTGTTAATAGAAAACCCTAGGTGTTGTGGTACATACAGAAATTGGTTACTGTGAACGTGCTTGTTAGGGCTGGTTGGCATGGCAATCAGAGAGTATTGTCGTGTCAGGGAGGGATGGGGCTAGTGTTCTAGAGCTGTGACTTCTCTTTTTGAAAGGAGATGAAAGCCCGAGTGTAAGGAGATTCAGGACCCCTTTGACCTGATACATACCCCGTGTGAACTGGCTGGGACTCCCTCACCAAGCTGGTAGCTGGCAGAGGAGCCCAAGAGGAAAAAAAAAAAAAAAAAAGGTGCCTCAAGTCCCATCTGCTTTACCATCAATTATCCTTTCTTAGTACGAAAATTGTATCGTCTTATCCTAGTTCGGTAAAATATTGCCTCCTCAACAAATTGCGTGGCGCCTGCAATGCCTGGCCGGGTGGGAGGTAAGAAGGGCAAGGTGCCTGGGCTACTTGCTCTATCACTGTGAAATATTTAAGTATATTTGCATACCAAAAACTTATAGCGAATATATGCTAAATTAGTAAGATTATTTCTCAGGAATGAGCTTGAGATTTAAACTTTCTACTCTACATATATTTATGTATTTTTTATAAACCAGTTTTGTGTATCATTTTTATGAGAACAAAGTAAAAACATTTAAGTGCGAAAAAAGAAGGAATTGTTAATAATAAAGTGGGAGGTGACTGTTTTTTCCCTTTTCATGACCCATGTTAAACCTCGTGAACTTTTTAGTGTGCATGAATTATTTTTCAATACAAAAATTCGTTTTAAGAAATAAAAGAAACTGTCCCCAAGCTCAATCTCACTTCTTTAAATAAAAATAAATGCACGGATTCTTCAACATTGCATGGGGAAAGTAGTTTGTTTCTAAATTAAACGGTCAGACAATTCATTTAGTAAACAAACATTTAGGTAAGAAAAAACTGAACACCTACTGACACAGTTCTCCCGGCTTTCTCGCCTATTACTTCGGTTGGTTTAAAAACTTTTTTTTTTCCCAATAAACTAAATATATTTTCAAGAAACCGTCACTTTTCTATTGTAAAACCCATTCTTCCGAAGGGAAGGGGACTGGACGACTTAGCGCCTCCCCTTCACGTGACCGGTGACCGCAGGACGCCATCTTAAGCCTCGCCTCGTAGCGGAAACTACATTTCCCAGAATCCTTGCGCCCCGCGTCGTGCTGGCACTTTTACTGGTCGGGGCTTAGAGCTGAGCCTGTAGCCGGGCGCCATCTTTGACGCTGGCAGTCTTGGCTTTCTGCTGGTGTTGCTGCTGAGAGGACGGCGGGCGGCAGCGGCTAAGAAAGAAGAAAGTCGCGGCAGCAAGCGGGAGTCGGGGATAGTGTCCTCGGTTCGGTAAAGTTTCTGTTCTCTGGTAACTAGACCCGTTTTTTGATTCCCGGGTGGCTTGGGCCGGGGAGGTGGGGGGAGAGGGCGAGGGGAGTGGCTGCGGCCTCTCCTCGGCCCTGGGTCGCGGCCTAGTCCAGAAAGTCAGAGCGGGTCGTTCGGCTCAGCCGTAACAACCCCCTCCTCTCCACCCCACCCCCTACCGCTGCCCTCGCCCGGGCGGGCTGGGAGCCCCAGGCTCCCGCTCCCGTCTCCCATCCGCCCCACCCCCATCCCACTTCACCCCATCCCCACAGCGCCTGCTCCTTTCCCGGCCAACCTTCCTCCCCTCCCCCACATCCGGTGCTGGCGAAACCGTAGGAGCCGTCAGAAAGCCGCCTCGTTCCTGCCTCCCAGAGAGCGCGCTAGGTTGCTGTCCTCGGGGCTGCAGTTTCCCTAGGTTAGCGGGGCCCCCCCTGCCTCAACGAAGCTGAGTGCCAGGAGCTGAATTTACCTACTCTATTCCTCTCCAGGGTCCTCCTACTTTGGAGATTTTCTCAAACTCCACATACAGAAAGCCTCCGACCTTATTCCGGTATCCTACGCCCCTTCCCTACCTTAATTACACTCCCACCCCTGCCCTCAGCGTCGAAGTCAAGAGCAACAGGGGCACTTCCGTTCTCCTTGTAGGATTGATGAAACCGTAATGAAGAACATCCCCTAAACTCCCATAATCGGTGCGGATTCCTATGGGGAAGGCCCATATTGTTGACATCTTCCAGGCCTTGGTTCTGGACCTTGTGAAGGAGGCTGTGGAACTAGTGATAGCGATGCTTTTTAGGGTAAATGTATGTAGGTATTGGGGGAAGGGGGAAGATCAACCGAGAAGGTATGGAAGTGGTTTAAAGCTCCTATTTCAGTTTCTGCTGCTCATATAGCGTCCAACTTATGAGTCACTCATTTACAGGCCATAAAGCTGTAAAAGCTGCTCCAGCCTTTAGTCTGAAAAGTAAACGTAGATTAACTCTTGATAGAAACAGTCAGCTGAAAATGCAGCTTGTAACCTTGATATTTTCATTTGACTCTCGAAGCATTTTTTTTCAGCTACCCACAATTTTAAAAATTGTATTTACTTTTTAGTTAGAGTTGAAAGGGTGAAAATAGTGTTTGCCATTAATGACCAGTATGTGGAGTCTGATTTAGCTTCCCAGAATTGACGTTTGGAGTTGTATTAGTAAATTATAGTCCGAAATGATGAATGTTGAATGATGCACTATGTTTTTGTTTACTTGAAATTTCCTAAAAAATAATTAATTTCAGAAGTAAGGGAAATCAGTGTCGCTACCGTGAGGCTTTATAAAAATATTTTAAAAGCTGAAGACATTTCAAGCAGATAAAGTTCTTGAAGCAGAAAGAACATGGGCCAGGGATTTGGAAGACCTGCCTTCTAGCTGCTACTGACCCTGGGAAAGCGTGCCTTAGTTCTTTTTTCTGTACCATGAGGAGATTGGACTATTTGAATCTAGAACTCAGAAAGTTGGAAGGGATCTTAAAGCCCTCTAAGAAAGAGTTTGGGAATGTTCTTCATTGCTGTCACTTTTGCTCCAAAAATAACCTGGCTTGGAAGTCATTGGTCCAAAGGGAATTTGAGTCTCCATAGAAATTGGAGAAAAGTTAATGCAAGTAGAGAGAAACAGCCGTATGTCTGCTTGAGCAATAAACCCTCTAACAGATTCTGGTACGAATTTTGGAGACATAAAGAGAATGAGTGTATGTACCTTAAGTGTACCGGTTTCCTCACTCTCTCCTGGTAGAAGATGCAGCACTTTTAGTGGTGCTGGAATTCTGGGATGTGTTTCTATTAATTCTAGTACAGATGAAGATGATGTGGTAGAGGGAAAGATGGTGGCAGAAGGAATGGATAGAGAGGCGAAATTGCCTGCTAAAAAAAAAAGAAAGAAGGGTTTGCGAATTAAGGGGAAAAGACGACGGAAAAAACTGATCCTTGCAAAAAAATTTAGTAAGGATTTGGGATCTGGAAGGCCTGTTGCAGATGGTCCTGCCTTGTTAACTTCCAGTGCTCCTGAGCAGGATGAAGAAAGTCTTTTTGAGAATAATATCGAAAAGCAGATTTATCTACCTAGTACCAGAGCCAAGACCTCCATTGTGTGGCACTTCTTTCATGTTGACCCACAGTACACCTGGCGTGCTATTTGTAACCTCTGTGAAAAAAGTGTTAGCAGGGGTAAACCAGGCAGCCATCTTGGGACATCTACTCTTCAACGACACCTGCAGGCAAGGCATTCACCTCACTGGACCAGGGCCAACAAATTTGGAGTCACTAGTGGGGAGGAGGATTTTACTTTGGATGTACCTTTGTCTCCCTCTTCTGCTGGAAGCAATGGAAGTTTTGACTATATCCCTACCGATTCATTAGATGATAATAGAGTGGGCAAGAAACGTGAGAAATCAGTATCTGATGCCCTGAGAGCAGAAAGAGGGAGATTTCTCATCAAAAGTAACATTGTCAAGCATGCCTTAATTCCTGGAACAAGAGCCAAGACATCTGCAGTTTGGAATTTTTTTTATACTGATCCTCAGCACATCTCAAGAGCCGTGTGTAACATATGTAAAAGAAGTGTGAGCCGTGGTAGGCCAGGTTCTCACTTAGGAACTTCAACACTTCAACGACATCTGCAGGCCACACATCCCATCCATTGGGCTGTTGCCAATAAAGACAGTGGTACAGTTGGAAATGGATTAGATGAGGCTGAGGCTGAGACTGAGAGAAATGAGCTCTTGAGCGATACTGTGCATGGAGAGAAGTCTACAGGCAGCCATGATACAACAGTTGAGGATCTTAGTGACTCTGAGTCAGATGAACCTCCTGTATTAGAGATTGAAAGCAGAAGATCTGAGAGTCCTATTCCTGTTGCAGAGCAAGATTCTATGCTGAATGCACAGGAGAGAGAAACATGTGAAAATTCAGTCTCAAGTCAAATAAGTCAGGCAATTATTCAGATGATTGTGGAGGATATGCATCCTTACAACTACTTTTCAACCCCAGCTTTTCAGCGGTTTATGCAGATTGTAGCCCCTGATTATAGGTTACCATCAGAGACTTACTTTTTTACTAAGGCTGTACCTCAATTATATGATTGGGTCAGAGAAAAAATTTTCTTGACCTTGGAGAATGTTCAAAGCCAGAAGATTCACCTGACTGTGGACATATGGACCCATGATCCGTCCACTGACTATTTCATTGTGACTGTGCACTGGGTCTCTTTGGAAACTACACCTTTCAATAATGGCAGGTGCCCCAATTTTAGAAAGTGGGCAGTGCTTTGTGTAACAGGTTTGGCCAAAGACTGCTTGGTCACCAACATTTTACAAGAATTAAATGACCAGATTGGTCTGTGGCTTTCTCCTAATTTCCTCATCCCCCGCTTCATTGTTTCTGACAATTCCTCTAATGTGGTACATGCAATCAAAGATGGTGGCTTTACGCATGTGCCATGCTTCCTGCATTGTTTAAATATAGTCATTCAGGACTTTTTCTGTGAGCACAAAAGCATTGAGAATATGTTAGTGGCTGCTAGGAAAACCTGTCATCATTTTAGTCATTCAGTCAAGGCTCGTCAGATACTGCAAGAATTCCAAAATGATCACCAACTTCCTTGGAAGAATTTGAAGCAGGATGAAACTGGCCACTGGATTTCTACCTTCTATATGTTAAAATGGCTCTTGGAGCATTGCTACTCAGTTCACCATAGTCTTGGTAGAGCTAGTGGAGTTGTGCTAACCTCCCTTCAATGGACTCTAATGACTTATGTTTGTGATATTCTTAAGCCATTTGAGGAGGCCACTCAGAAAGTGAGTGTGAAAACCACAGGATTGAATCAGGTGCTACCCCTAATCCATCATCTACTTCTTTCACTGCAGAAACTCAGAGAAGATTTTCAGGTCAGAGGTATTACTCAGGCACTCAATCTGGTGGACAGTTTATCTCTGAAACTTGAAACTGATACCCTTCTAAGTGCCATGCTCAAGTCCAAGCCCTGTATCTTGGCTGCTTTGTTAGATCCTTGCTTTAAAAACAAATTGGAAGACTTTTTCCCTCAAGGTGCTGATATAGAAACTTATAAGCAGATCCTTGCAGAAGAAGTTTGTAATTATATGGAATCTTCACCAGAGGTCTGCCATATTGCAACTCCAGAATCTTCTGGTCCCTCAACTATAGTAGGAACTGATTCATTTACCTCATCTATAAGAGAAGGCCCCTCCAGTTCAGGGTCTATTGATAGCTCAACTGCAGATATTGTTGCCATTGGAAGCAAAAGCTTCATGTTTCCTTCTGCTATAGCAGTAGTGGATGAATATTTCAAAGAGAAGTATGCAGAGATCTCAGGAGATGATGACCCTTTGATATACTGGCAGAGGAAGGTGAGCATATGGCCTGCTTTGACCCAAGTTGCCATTCAGTATCTGAGCTGCCCCATGTGTAGTTGGCAATCTGAGTGTATCTTTACTACAAATAGCCACTTTCATCCAAAGCAGATCATGAGCCTGGACTTTGACAATATAGAACAGCTGATGTTTCTGAAAATGAACTTGAAAAATGTTAACTATGATTATTCTACATTGGTTCTGAGCTGGGATCCTGAGAATGAAGTTGTTCAAAGCAATGAAAAAGAAATATTATCTTAATTTCTTTTTCCTTTCTCCATTAAAAATGGGCAGTTTATTGCTGTTACTGTATCCTAATTGCTATAGTTGTTACATATAGTTATACTAACTATTCCTTATAAACTAATCTGAGTAAATCTGAAAATGCAATTGCTGAAAATTCCTCAGAGGCAATATAATGTTGCAAAGTGAAGATTAACTTTCAAGATTTCATACTAGTAATTCAATACAGCTGTCACTTGAGTTTTGGTTTATGCCTACTGAAAGAAAAAAGATACTTTTTAATTTAAAAAATATAGTGCAGCATTGAAAGGCCTGAGACTTTCTGACTAGTTGATTAAATTAGTGATTGGTTTTAAGTAAAGATTTCTCCCAATGTGGAAAGTTTGCTCTGAAACCAATGTAATTGAGAAAGAAAGCATACTGAGTGGGTATTCCTTTCCCTTTTCCCATTTTCCTATTTCTTTAAAAACTGATTACTACTTATTGCATGGCAAAAACTCACAAAATTGTTTTATATTTGGCAATTTCTAATTGCCTCCTCATACTGGTCAGCTTTATAATTTCATCTTAGTGTCATAGTTACCCTTTATATTTAGGATTGGATTTATATAAAAGGTAAAACAATTTTTATGTGTAGTCTTTGAACTGCCTTTTTAAACTTTTATAAGATAGTGTAAAATAAAAATATTGTGTTTGTACTTTTACATAATTTATGGGTAAATGACATAGCAGAAGTTTACAGATTGAATGGTAATTGGAATTAGCATGAGTCCCATGAACATACTTTGAGACCCAGTATCCATTTCCCAAAGAATGTTTCTCTAATTTAAGTGATTTTAGATCGCCTTTAAAAAGTATACTGTCTGATCCATACTACTGTATTATTAATTATGAGATTATTAATTATGAGATAATTATGAGATTAATTGGCCAATATTTTCATGTGTTAGGAATCATTGCCTCACTGGTAAAGTGAAAAATTGATCTCAGCGATCTTTAAAGTCCCTTTCCACTCTAAAAGTATATTTTTGTGATTGAGTGGGAGGCCAGAAAATGATGACTTTTAGTAAAAGTCTATTAAAAGTTTTAGACTGAATAACTAATATGAGATCCCAATTTTTCCTTTTTTTCATTTTAGATTTGGGGATATTCCCTGCCCAAAAATTTCCTGGAAAATTGACTAGTATTAAGTGTGAGTAAAAGGTGTCCACTTTTTTTTAAGTTTTGATTTTAGTTTTGTCTTGGATAGTATTTGGCAAGATTTAGCCTAGAAATTATGTATTGGGTTGTCGGAAAAGTGATGATGCATTTTTGCAACAGATGGCACTAGTTCATTTTTGGAAGTACTAGAGTCATTCGCATCTATGTTATTGCTAGTCATTTGACAGTTGATAGTTCTGGCTTCATTTAAAAAAAAATGAGTGATTTGGTTGAGTTTCGGAAATCTTACAAGTTGAAGATGGAAGACCACACTCTGCATTTTCGCTGTATTTTACTGTTTTACTTCCGTAAAGGGAAGAACGCACATCAAGCTTGTGAAAAGTTTCATCAAGTTTATGGTTACAACGACATCAGTGCCGGTGATGGTTCATCAAATTCCGTGCTGGTGTTTTTGATCTCAGTGATGCTCCTCAGTCAGGGAGGCAATGCCAAGGTTGATGATGAAAAAATAAAGGCATTGATGAGTCAAACCCAGGTTACCTGACATGGAGATTGCAGAAACATTGAACATCATTATTCAAGCATTCATGAGCTCCTGAAAAAACTGGGGGTACGTAAGCTATCTCGAGGTTCCTCATGAACTCAGAGAAGTTCATTTGGCAGCACGTATGAGTATCTGCAATACACTCATTAAACGGGAGGAAAACGATCCTTTTTTGAAGTAACTGATAACTGGTGATGAGAAGTGGATTGTTTACAGCAGTATGGTACACAAATGGTCTTGGTCCCAAAGTGGTAGTTTGCCTCAAAAGATATCGAAAGCAGACATTCATCAGAGGACGGTTATACTCTAAGTGTGGTGGGATTTTAAAGGTGTGTTTTTCAAGCTCCTTATACGGAACCAAACAATCTATTCAAATGTGTACTGTCAGCAATCGGACAGTTTGAACTAATCCATCATCCAGAAATGTCCAGAGCTCATTAATCATAAAGGAGTTGTGTTCTATCATGACAGCGTGAGACCACACACAAGTTTGATCATCCATCAAAAATTATTGGAGTTTGGATGTAATGTGTTGCCGTATCTACTAAACTTGCCCGACCTTGCACCGCCAGACTTCTACTTGTTTCACTCTCAAAATTTCTTGTATGGTATAATGTTCAATTCAGATGAGGCTGTATATCAGCACCTTGTTCAGTTTTTTGCTAATAAAAGAGAGGTCCTTCTGTGAACGAGGAATTATGAAGCTCACTGAAAGATTGCAGAAGTTTATCAAACAAAATGGGCAATATATCATTGAGATATCTTTGTTCTTTAAATAAATGACCTTTGGAAAACATAGAAAAAAATACATCATGACTTTTCCGACAACCCAATAGTATTTATTACATGAGAATCAAAATTGCTTTGTTACTGGGCTGGTTTCAAAATTTCTATGTATCAAAATAGTTTTTTGTTTTTGTATTTTTTTTTAATTCTTAAATGGTATATGTACCATTGTGAAATGAAATTTCAACTCTTAAAGTTTACCCTTTTATTAACTGGAGTAAATAGATAACTGCAAAGTCTTTAGGTGTAGCCACCACTAGTAACGAATTTGGAACTAGGCTGCATAAGCAAGCCTTTGCAGGGCTCATATTGAATGTCATGCCAATCACATTGGTGTTGCTATAAAAAAATTCTTCCCTTCTATAGAAGCTTTCTGTGCTTTGATAGTGCCAGTTCAGGATGGCTGTACTGCTGCTCTGCCTTCTACAGCTTGCTGCACCTCTCTGTAGTTACTCTGTAACTATGTGCTTCTATCTTTTTTGGTTAAACACTCCCTGAAGAGGATAAAGATGATGATGATATATATACATACATCCATATTATACACATTAATAAATGTGTAAGGATTTCCCTTCATCTTTATTTTGTGGGCTGGGCAAAATTTAGCATAACATATTAATGTACTTCATGATACTTTGGTATAAGACTAAGTTCACTATTTTTACAATGAACCCAAATCTAAAGACTTTTATACTATATTTTAAAAGGGAAAACTTACCCAAATGTTTTATTTCTACACATTTGTGTATGTGTGTGTGTGTATAAGCCAGTTAGTATATATGTATATTATATACATAAAACACTATATTTTTACATACAAGTATGCTTTTATTATACATATAATAAAGATGGGGGAAGGTTTCTGTTTTTTTCTTAATAGGTGAAGAAATCTTGAAGACCAGAAATTGGATCTTAATGAATTTTGGTGTTCTTTTTCTTTTTTCTTTTCCTTTTTCTTTTTAAATTATATTGTTCGGCTATGGAAGATGGATTTTTTTTAAATAATCCTTTGAATCTCAAGTTCATCTTTACATGAACTTTTTTTTGTTTTTTTTTTTTGTTGTTGTTGTTGTTGTTTTTTGGTTTTGTCTTTTTGAGGAGATAACTAACTCTAGCTGTCTCCAGTCTGACAAAGGTTATTGGAATGGACTTAATCTCCCAGTAGTTGGGAGAGGTTTTAAAAACACGTCCTGTGTTTGAATTGTGGCTGAGAGGTTTCCTTGGCAATGTGAGGAGGAAAATTCTTTCTGCCTCATTATTATTAATTCATGGATTGAGTGTTGGTTCGACCTACAGGCGTAATAGATTGGAACTCAGTGAAGACACAGACGTCCCTGTTGAGAGCAACCAGCTAATGTAAGTGTGAAAATGGGTTTTTTAATTTTCCTGGATCAGTAAAGTTAAAATTATTGTTCCGGGCATTTTTTTCTTATAACTGTTTACCAGCTTTTGTTTTTGGATGGTGACATTCCCTTTGCATGTGTGGGTTTTTGTTGTTAGCTGGTTTTTTGTTCTTTTTTAAGTAACACATGCACGTTCCAAAAAATGAAAATGATTTCGTGAAAGCTGACATCTCCCTGTAATTCTGCCTCCTCAGAGAGAAGCATCATGGATAGTCCCTCACAGCATAGTTTCATGTCCATACACAGAGCTCGCCCTTACCTTTTTTTTTTGATGACATACTTCTCCTTTATAGGATGTGCCATGATTTGATTTTTTTCCTGATTGATAGGCATTTGGATTTTTTCCATTAAAAACAAAAATACCCGATATCCACGAACAGTCCTGTGTACACATCTATGTGAACTTGCTTCCTTAGAACCAGTTAATTTGTAGAATTGTGTAATTCTTGAGAGGTTTTATGAATTTGCTAATAATTAATAGGGCCTTTTGGATTTGTTAAAGTTCTTGAAACACTCCTTTTGGTAACGATAATAGTTTTTGACTGTGTTATTGATAAATCTTTTGCTATATGAGTGTTTTTCACTTTATGTAGTCAGATCTGTGAATTTTATTGCTAGAGTTTTAAATTTTGGTATTGTGTTAGGAGAAGATTTTTTTCCATCTTTATTAAAGTAAAAATGACATTTTTCCCAGTAATTGAGTGGTGATAGTTTTTTTAATTAAAAATATAATCTAGGGATTATAGTAATGACATCATCACTTTTTCATAAGCATGGTAGACATTGTCAGCTGTTGCTGAGCACAAAATCTGTTTTAGAACAGTGCTTTAGCTAGTGAGCCAAAGCCTCTTTCCTGTCTTTTATTCCTCTGGAACATTTCTGTATGGAATAGAATTTTTTCTTCAAATGAATGGTCATTTTTATTAATTTCAGATGCTACTTTTCTCATTACATTTACTCATGAACTCTCTTGAGTTCTGTTTATTCATTTATTTGCCAATTCTCCATTTAAGTGTCTTATTTCACATCTGTAATAGAGGTGGCACGAGGTCCTCATTCTTGAATTTTTCTTAATTTTCTCAAATAGTTATTCCTAGAAGATTTTACATTCTGTCAAGTTCAAATAACTCTAAGATTTCAACTTGTATTTTATTCAGTGTATACATTTTTCAGGGGAGAAGTGAACTACTTTAAGTCTCCATTCCATTACCTCTTCAATATCCTGGTCTTTAGAGTCATAGCTTTTTGTTTTAAATTTAATTTAATGTGGGTCTTGTATATGGCTTCATTTTCATTCTGAGTGACTGTTGCTGGCATACTGAAAATTGATTTTTTTATATCTTACTATTTTTAGTATTTTTAGTTGATTGTTAGATTTGACAGTTTGCAAGCATGTGATTTGCAGATAAAATTTTTTGGGAAAAATTACTTAAGATTCTAACCTAAAAGTATTTATACTTTTTTTCCTTTACTGGAAGTGCTAGACTCCAGGACTGTGTTGAATCACAGTGGAGACAGTGATTGTTCTTTCTTTGGTTGCCTTGAGTGAGCCATACCCCTAGTGTCTTACCATATCACATATGCTGACAGTTCCTGATAATTAAGTGCACTTATGTTAATGAGGATCTTTTGTGATTTACTCACAAGTTTTATTGGGAGTAGATGTTGCATTTTAGCCCTTTTTAGAAAGCCATTTTAACTTTTTTAAAAAACCATTTAAAATCCTTTTTCACCATCTTTTTTTTTTTTAATTTCCAGATATCAGTTTTTGGTTTTGTTTTTAGTTCCCTACCCCCTTTATAAATGTAAAGAATTTATTAATGTTAACATTCTTAGTACTGGAATAACCTTTTTTGATTGTATGTTATTCCTTTAATACATTGTGATTTAATTTGCTAATACTTTATTTAAGATTTATCGGCAATCATACATCAGATAGCCAAAGCAGTTGTTTTAAAGTTCTTTTAAAAGGCAGTGAAATATTGCATGTGACAGTTTTTTTCTATTTGCATTAAGTTCATTTTTTAAAATTCTTTTTCTCAAGTGTGTAGAATAGTATTTTTTTTTTAAGATTTATTTATACACACAAGAACTGGGGTTTAATCCAGAGATGCGGGGCGTGAGAGGCTTCACCAGAAAGAATGGGGAGCAGAACAGACAGATCTACTGAAATATATGGCTGAGGGGAGCAGCGGGCAAGGCAGGAGAGGTCTGCTGCACCATGTGGGTTGCTCCCTGGCCAGCCTGGAGTCAAACTCATGCTGCAGTGGCTGGCAATAGCTTGATAGCACTGTCTTTAACCCCTGCACCACAAGGGAGGCCCTATATAGAATAGTTCTTTAAGTAATTATTTTCAAGAATACATGATGTACCTAGATGTATACTTTTTGAGACTTATATTTAAAGACTTCAAAATCCTGAGTTCACCTTGAAATGGAGTTTGAAAGACTAAATCAAAGGTCATAATCCTCCTTTAAATTCTGGATGCATAGCATTTATTTGTCTTTTGGCATGTAGTGATTCAGATGAGAAGTCTAATGTCAAGTGTCTTTCTTTGTTTCAGCTGGATTTTATTTAGAAGCCTCTGTAATTCTGCATTTTCCATTTGAATTCAAAAGTTTTACCATATTAGATGTAGCAGAGATACCTCTAAAGAAAATTTCTACCTGGCATTTGATGAGCCTCTTAATCAAAAGGCTCAAGTCCATCCAGCTTGGAGAAATTTTCTTGTATTGTTTTTTTTTATTTTCTGCCTTCCTTTTAGAATTTCCATTGTTGAATCCTCTGGGTTTATTTCCACATATATACATCACCTTTTTTCTCATTTTAACCTCTTGCATTTTGGGATATATCCTGAACAGTGAGTGATACAATGTAGTTGTGGTTTTCATCAATGCTTATTCTGCTATCTCTTCTATTGAAGTCTCTTTCCAGGGGAAGAGACACTGGTCACTTTTTCCCCCCTCCTTTGAAACTTTACACATCTTTGGATTTTTGCTTGGGATAGATGTGATTGCTATCAATATTTATCTCTAAAATTTTTTTTCCATTTTCTTGAATAGCAATTACATCTGCCTACCCTCTTCAATATACATTGAAGCTCAGTGTATATAAAACATACATGGAAGAACCTGCTCTATTAAAACATTAGTAAGTATTCAGTATTTCCACACACTGCCTTTGTCTGCTAATTTGAAACTCATTGAAAAAAAGGCAATTTCGTGTTATTTTGTTGCTATTTCATTGGTTGTTTAGTATGTTGGCGGTCTTCCAGAAACCAGCAACAGTTTCATATATATTCTTGATTGATTTTTAGGAATAAAATTGACCTCTTTTTCTCCATTCTAATACTATTTTCTATTGTTAGATTTTTCATTCTCATCATTTATTGAAAAGACTCTCCATTTTTCTATGCATGTGTCCTTATAGTTGAATATCCATTAGAGAATTGATCCCATTTGAGATGATTTTTAAAATACTTTTTCACATACCCTAAAATGTAGATTGGTACTCCCTGGGGTTGAGGTCTGGGGAATCCTGTTTAGTGGATCAGTGAGATGCTATTAAAAGTCCAGCCCTAGTGCCATTCTGTAGTGGATCAATAATGGTCAAGCCAGTTTTGGTAGAATGTTTTTTTATTGTGTGTGTGTGTGTGTGTGTGTGTGTGTGTGTGTGTGTGTGTGTGTGTGTGTGTGTGTGTGTGTGTGTGTGTGTGTCGGAACTGGAGTGTAGGCCAGAGGTGTGGGGATGTGAGAGGATTCACCAGAGACAGAGTGGGGAGCAGAACAGGCAGATTTACTGAAATATACTGCTAAGGGGAGCAGTGGGTGAGACAAAAGAGGTCTGCTGCACCATATATGGGTTAACTCCCTAGACAGGGATTGAACTCAGGTCTTTGCAGTAATAGCGCTGAGACTTAACCCCTGGTCCACCAGTGAGGCCCAACTTTTTTATTATGTCTATGTTGCGTTATATTAGGAAATTTAATATTATTCTGAGCATAAAACAGAATAACAGCCCCTTATAATCCTGCCATTCTGGTGGTAACTATTACTAACATTTTGGTATGTTTTTTGTACTTCCTGTTGTTCCACATCTGCACCAGCATTTGGTCGTGTCAGTGTTTTGGATTTTTGTTATTCTGAAAGGAATTTACAATCCCCTAGTAACATATGATGTTGAATATCTTTTCATATGCTTAATTGCCCCCATATATATTTTTTTGGTGACGTCTCTGTTCATTTAGTCAGACCTTTTTTTTTCTGGATATCATTGGTTTTTATTTGATTTCCTTTTCATTTGTTGTTTGAAGCTACTTGAAGAATTCTGTGAGAAAAGATCTAATAGATGGAATCATTCCAAAACAGAAATTGAGTACCAGTTAAGACTAGTATTTCTCAGACTTTATCATTTGTGTGAATTATGTAGGTATCTTGTTGTGATGATCTGATTCAGGAAGTCTAGGGTAGTCTCCTTGCATTTCTAAGAAACTCCTGGTTAATGCTATTGGTGCTGAAACAAAATTGGAGTAACAAGATGTTAGATTACATTTCTAAATTAAATAATTTCAGGTGAATGAAAGAATTCATTGGATTTTCTACCTCAGTATGCAAAGGGGCCAAGAGGTCTGCCCATTTTTTAGTTGGTTTGTTTTCCTAATTGAGTTTTAATTGGTTTTTATATATGTTGGATACTAATTCTTTATCAGTTATGTGTTTTGCAAAGATTCTCTCAAGTGTGTGACTTTCTTTTCATTCTCTTAAGATTGCTATCACAGAGCAGTTGTTTTTAATTTTAATGAAGTCCAACTTAATCATGTTTTCTTTTATAGGTCCTGTGTTTGGTGGTGATCTCAAAAGTTATTGCCAACCACAAAGTCACCTGAATTTCTAGAATACTGTCTTTTAGTTGTATAATCTTTCATTTCATATTTTAGTCTGGTTTTTGAAAGGTATATGATCTGTTTCTATATTCTTTTAGATGGTATCCATTTCTAGCATCTTCCATTGAAAAGACTATCCTTTCTCCATTGAAATTTCCTTTGCTCTTTTGTCAAGTCAGTTGACTATATTTATAATCTGTACTAATTTTCTAGGTCTGCCATAACAAAATACCACAAACTGGGTAAAACAGTAGAAATTTATAATCTGCAGTTTTTGGAGGTGAAATGTCTGAAAAGGTCTTGGCATGTCTGTGCTTTTCCTGAAACCTGTAGGAGTTTCCTTGCCTTTTTTGATTTCTGATGTTTGCTAGCAATCTTTGGCATTCCTAGGCTTATAGATGTGTCATTTTAGTCACATGGCTGTTTTTTCCCTGTGTCTTCATATCATCTGACCCTTGTATATGTCTGTCCCCTTCACTTCAGTCTGGCATCATTTCTGCTGTGATGGTTGATTAGATCCATAAGTCACACACCTAATATCAGCAAACCCTTGTCTAGTCACACTGTTATTCTGTACAGACCACATTTTGCAGTATAAAAAGGCTAAGAATTTCCTAAGTTCTTTGTAAGCTCGGGCCTATTAATACAATTAAAGTTTGGTTTTAACTTGTAGTCTCATTGATCAGGGTGATTTGGAAGAGGAAGTTGGAAGAATTTGCCTGAAATATTTTAATTCTTTATCTCCTCATTTTAGGATAACATTTTAAAGGCGGTTTCTGTGATTGAGTTGTCTTTTGGAAGATTAAATCCATTGCAAGAGGACTTGGAGCTGGTCCTCGCCTTGAGAAACAGTGGCTTGTTTTCAAGAAGCCACCTAATCCAAGGATTGACGCAGCATGCCTAATCAAGGAGAAGACTGCTATTTTTTTTTCTATTCTACATGTACCAAAGTAAGAATGGCTATCTCTAAATCAGTTCTATGAGTTTCCTAATAAAACTGGATATAATTTTCCAAGTATATAAAATTCTTTTTTATGTTTTAACTGTTACCTGCTGTCAGCTTTTTTAGTAAATGTAGCATTCTTAGAATTCATGTTTTTTTCTCTTCATTTTGTAGTCTACAAAAATGAAAAAGATGCATAGCATACAATCGTTTTTCAGTGTTTTCTAATTTATAACTTAGGGTGCCTTTGGAATTAGGGATATTTTAGCCCATGACTTGCTAACTTTGATATTATTTACTTTGTATTAAATGAATTGTACTTCTAGCAACTTGTAGATTGTATTTGACCTCTTCAGATTTTTTGCTGGGTACTAAAGCCATCTTTAATATATGCTTTTGCAGCTTTTTGCTTTTTTACTTTTTTCAAAACTTCCTATTTTTCTGCTTCAGTCTTCTGCAGCTCCATTTTGTTCTGTCGGCTTTTCTTTTGCTAAAAATTGCTGATTCTGTAAATGTATATATTGAGACTTTTTCTTTAATCATCATATTTAAAATGATCCATTTTGGGCTTCCCTGGTGGCACAGCGAGTTGAGCACAGCACTGTGATGCTGTCTGCAGCTTCTGCAGTGCAGATTCCGATTCTCAGCTGGCCAGGGAGATACCCACATGGCGCAGCAAACCTCTCCTGTCTGGCCCGCTGCTACCCTCAGCTGTGTCTTCAGTCTGTCTGCCTGTTCTGCTCCCCACTCTGTCTCTGGTGAATCCTGTCATCCTCCCACACCTCTGGCCTGTACCCTAGTTCTTGTATAAATAAAAAATATTTAAAAAAAAAATAGAATGATCCATTTTAAGAATAGCAAAATTTTTAAAAGAGAAACATTTTGTTGCAGATACTACCATTTCATAAAGTGTGTAGTGAAGCATGGAATTATACTTTAATCGTAATCTATTAACTTTTCTTATTTTCCATCAAAAATTACTTAAACAAATGGGGAAGTATGAAACACTTTTGCAGATGAACTATAAAATATATCTTTGAAGAGTGCCTAATACTCTCATTTGTCTTCTTCATCCTTATCTCCCAGCTTGTGTTACTCATGTTGTCATATGAGATGAAGGGTACTGTCAAGAAATAGAAAAGTATACCTTTGTTGACCTCAGCTTGTTCTTATCGCATCTTGTTTTCTACCTTGTCTATCTTGCCTCCTCTTTTGTGTTTGTTTTCTGCCTTGCCTATTTTGTCTCCTCTTTTGTGTTTGTCTTGATGCCAGAAACTCTTATGTTGAACATTTTAGCTAGGATCTATGTCGGTACCACAGTAGTTTTCTGTATTACTCCCTTTGTTTACAGGGTGACAGCTGTCCATTCCGTCACTGTGAAGCTGCACTAGGAAATGAAACTGTTTGTACATTATGGCAAGAAGGGCGCTGTTTTCGACAGGTGTGCAGGTTTCGGCACATGGAGATTGATGTAAGTTTCCCACTTGTATTTTTTTTTTTTGTTTCTTTTTAAAGATGTATTTATTTATACAAGAACCGGGGTACAGCCCAGATGCATGGGAGGGTGAGAGGATTCACCAGAGACAGAGTGGGGAACAGAACAGGCAGACTGAGGAAATATTCTGCTGAGGGGAGCAGTGAGCGAGACAGGAGAGATCTGCTGCACCATGTGGGATTCTCGCCAGCCAGCCAGGATCAAACCCGCCCTGCAGAGGCTGCGGACAGCTTCACAGTGTGGCATTCAACCGCCTGCGCCACCAGGGAGACCCCCAACTTGTATTGTTGTAAGTCACCTGGTAAATTACATATTCCTTACCATTTCCAGATACTTTCCTACAAGAAGGAAGCACATTCTCCACATAACCATAATGCAACCATCAAACTAGAAAATTAACACTGACATATTACCTTTATTTAATCTTTAGAGCCCAGTCAAGTTTTGCCATTTATCCCAATAATATTCTGTGTTGTGGGAATGAGCCTAGAATCAGTTGTTGCTTATAGTTGTCATGACTTTAGTATCATCCAGTCTATAATTGTTGCTCTTTCTTTCTTTATATTTCATTGTCCTTGACACTTAGGGTAGTTATAGACCAGTCATTTTGTAGGATTTGTCCCTCATTTTGGGTTTGTCTGGTAGTCCTCACTACCAAATTCAAGTTGTATATCAGATGACATAATTTTAATAATTTCATTCTTGATGATGTTAACTTTGATTACTTTATAAAAGCAGTATTTGTTAGATTACATCATTGTAAAGTTGTTTTATTTCATTTTTGTAATAAACATTTTGTGGAGAGATAGTTTGAGACCCTGTAGTTATCCCATTTCACATCAGACTTTAAATTTCCTCTATTTATTTGTATTTGTGTGAAATCATGGTTTCCTATTTTATTCTTACTGTCATTTTTGTACTTACTGTCATTTTTTATTCTCAAATTGAGCCAGATTTGGCCAGTAAAGCTCTTCAGGCTGATTTTTGTGTCCTTTTGATATTTCCCTCATTCTTCAAGTGTTTCTTTGCTTTCTGGGCCAACAGCATTTTTCAGGGTCATCCCGTACTTTTCCTCCTCCAAACCTGGGATCCTCCATTTCTCCAAGGAACTGTGGTTCCTTGAGAAGAATGATAGATGGAAATAAGATTGAGCTAGTCTTGGAGTGTCACTGTTTCCAGGCCCACAGTAGACAGAACATAGGAATACACACATTTACATCATTATTTTTGCACTTTGTCTTTGTATTGAAAATCGTGTGTTCATATAGATGGCCTCTAGTTTACAACAAATAAGGTTTACTATGGACTTTTCCTTTTTCATACCTGTAACTTCTCCAAAGTGAGAAATTTTATTCCCACTGTCCTTAATATGACTTATTTGATCATTTCCCCTAAGTCTGTAAACTGCTATTTTTTTTTAAAAGATTTATTTATTTATGCCTATAAGAACTGGGGTACAGGCCAGAGGTGTGTGTGGTGGGGGGTGAGAGGATTCACCAGAGACAGAGTGGGGAACAGAACAGGCAGATTTATTGAAATACACTGCTAAAGGGAGCAGCGGGCGAGGCAGGAGAGGTCTGCTGTGCCATGTGGGTTGCTCCCTGTCCAGGGATCAAACTCGTGCTGCAAAGGCTGCAGATAGCTTCATAGGTTGTGTCTTAACCCCTTGCGCCACCAGGGAGGCCCTGTAAACCACTGTTATATCACAGACTCTTTCTCCTTCTTGGGCTCCAAAATCAGGGACATCTTTCTCACTTTGTTTCAGTTCTAACACTGTTCCAGACCTCCTTCCTTGTTCCACCTTGAGAACCTTTTCCTCACCCTGTTTGAACCCCAGAATCCTACTCTGACCCCATCTTTCCCCCTTGGGTTCCCTTTTCACACTCTGGGTTCTGATACTGCTGTCAGACAGCCCTCCCTTGGAGTATGTTTTCTCTCCACACCCTGCTTATTTTCTGACTCCACCAGGTCCCTAACGAAGAAGACCCTGCCTTCCTCACCCCACTTATTATTTCATGACCATTCTAGGCTGACTTTCCATGGGTATATACTACTCACCTAACATTGGGATTCCTTCTGCATAGAAATCTTGCTCACCCTGCTCAAATTCCAGCCCTCTGCCAGGCCTCTCTGCAAATGTCCTTCTAATCCCTTGAAGGTTTCAGACTGTATGGCAGTTAAATCTTGTCATGAGGACACCTTCCTCATCTCAGTCAGGCTCCACCACCTTCTAGGCCATGTATCCTTTCCTCTGCCAGCACAAATGCTTGCTTCTCTCAGCCTCACCTAAAGCCTTTGGACTCAATTGTTTGAGAAGGGGTGGAGAAAGAATGAAGAGAGGGCCTCCCCAGTGGCGCAGTGGGTTGAGTGCCGCACTATGAAGTTGTCCGCAGCCCCTGCAGTGCAGGTTTGATTCCCAGCCGGCCAGGGGGAAACCTTTATGGTGCGGCAGACCTCTCCTGCCTCACCTGCTGCTCCCCTCAACAGTGTCTGTCTGCCTGTTTGCTTCCTGCTCTGTCTCTGGTGAATTCTCTCACCACCACCACCACACCCCCGCGCCTCTGACTGTACCACAGTTCTTGTATAAATAAAATTTAAAAAAAAAAAGTAAAAAGAAGAGACTAAATAAGTTACATGTATGCTTGGGGGGGTCAGATAACCACTTTAATCTGTTTCCAGATAAGTAGTCTCAACTATATTCTATGCTGCCTGTTTCCAAGTAGCAGAGAGTTCACTAAAATTTAGAGAAAGAATTACTCTGCAACTTTTGAAAAATCATGTTATTACGTTGCTGGCATAGTGTAAATTGGCATAACTCCAGTGGAAGTTGTGTCAGAGTCCTTAACATCTCCATAAATAGATGGGACTCAGGACTCAGCATGCAGTTGTATTCATGGCTGAGATTTATTGCATTGATACAGTGAGGATATACTGATTGTAAGAGAGAAAGACACAGGCAGAGTCTGGAGGAATCCATGTGCAGTTTTCTTTATGCCCTATTCCTTCAGTGCAGGGTCACACAACACTCTTCTCTCAAAAATGAATATGCATGGGTTGATTCTGCTCGGGGAAACCCAGTGGAGGCCGAGTATCCAAGATTTTTATTGGAGCTGGACACATAGGCATCCTCTGCTTTACATATACCAAGACTCCCAGGAGGATAGCACGCATTCAGCATAAATTGTGTTCTTTGCACAGTGATAAGTTGACTGAGAACCTTCCTAGAGCCAAGTATTCACATGCCAGGCAGGTGCCAAGTTTGTAAGCTCTCTAAGAAGAGCAGTGTTAGGGCTGCTGTAGTAACTCTTTTCTGCACAGAACCTTATTTGGGTCATCTTTTAAGAATGCTAAATGATATATATAACTTTGTCTCATTTGTACTCATGTACAAAATGAGAACTATGCAGAATTACGCATAGCATAATTTGTAATAGTAAATTATCAGACATCCTAACCTTCATTTAAAATAAATTTTACTGTCTTCTTACACTGGAGCCCTAGGCAACTGTTAACAGAAACTTTAAAAGGGAGAGGTTTATTGATTGATAAGGAAAGATCAGGATCTGTCATTGAAAAAGCAAATAATTTATATAAAAAATGAGACGTAAAAGTATATTTGTTTCACTTGCCATGTGCATTTAAAAAATAACTGGAACTTATTTTAATGGGGAAACATAAACAATGCCCACTGAGGCATGGGGGCAGGGGTGGAAGGGAGCCTTTTTACTGAATACCCCTTCTACATGAAGTAACTTTTCATTACTCGTATTTGCAAATTTGCATACTCACTAAAATTTATTGTTACTCTAAGCAATACTTGTGATACTTTCAGTGTCATTTGAAAATATGAAAAATTTGAGCTGCTTAAATAGCCTTACATACAAACTAACTCCCAGCTAAGGTCAAACAAAGTGATATTGCCTTATGCTTTAAAATAAGTGTCCTTTCCAAAGTCTATTAAAAAATATTTTGGGGATATTTTAGTGCTTTTTATTGGTTATTTTGCTGTTTAAAGTGGCTCCCAAGCATAATGCTAAAGCACTCATAGGTTCCTTATTGGGAAAATGTTAAGATGAGTGTATGAAGATAAGGTTCATTCAGCTGTAAGTTACCATGCTGTTGCCTATGAGTTCATTGTTAATGAGTCAACCTTCTATGTTAAATAAAGTCAGAAACACACATGAAACAGTGTTACATGTGGTTTAAGAAAATGTGACCAGAAGCTTTCAGGAACCTAACTGTATTTCCCTCAGCAGTAGCTCAGTACTTGTTAAATCGGTGTTTGTGGTAATGTTATAGAACATAAATACTGCAGGATCCAAAAGTGAAACATTTTCAGCACTCATTCTTGCCCCTTCATCCCTTGCTTGTCACTAACCACATCCCCAAAGCTAATCACCATCCTGACTACTCTGCCAAAGAGAAGATTTGCCCATCTTCATCTTGACGCAGATGGAGTCAGAGCACGGAGCAGAGCATGTACTCTTTCATATCTGGTTCCTGTACATCTGTGGTTCAGTGTTAGCAACAGTTTATTCCTTCTCATTTCTGGATAACATTTTATTGTATGACTGTACAACAATATCTCTCCCCTTTCTAGTGTTGATGTACATTTGGGTTGTTTCTGGTTGGCACTCTTATAAATAGTATTGCTTTAAACATTTTTACACATCTAATATATGTCTATATGCACATTAATATAAACTAAGGTATATATTTTCTGTTGGACATAGATCCTGTGATCCAGCAATTTATTCTAGATGTGCAGATTTTCTTCTCTTATTTTCCTCATGAAAGTGAAGTTGTTTGGGAAGAAAAATGTCATACCTAGTGCTTTACTTTGAGGTGGCAAGGAGTAGAAAAATTTTGATCAAAGCTGTAAATAATAGCTGCAGTTTATTCGATTATGTGGTAAGAGCCTTCTGTACATTATTTGTTTTAATCTTCATCAGAAAGTATTAGGTACTATGGTTACTTCCATTTAGTAGTTGAGACAGAGGCATTCAATTGTTCAACATTACATAGCCAGTAAGTAGCATAATGGAGATTCAAATCCTGTTACCCTTAAGTCTATAATCTTAACTACTATGTTATCCTGCTTCTCTAAATTGAATGTAGACATCTAGGGTTCCAGGGTGATGTCAAAGAGAAAAGAATAGAAGATAAACTACTTTTCTTCTCCCTTTGTTTGTCCATCTGCTTCAGATTTTTAAAACCTGTATGAATTTTGTCCAGAAAAATAAATGACCAAATTAATATAGGTCACTCTTCATTTTTTGTTTTCTGTTACAGAAAAAACGCAGTGAGATTCCTTGTTACTGGGAAAATCAGCCAATGGGATGTCAAAAGCTAAACTGTGCTTTCCATCACAACAAAGGACGTTATGTTGAAGGACTTTTCCTACCTCCAAGCAAAAGTAAGTTCTATTTAATAAACACCTACTCTGCACAGTGAACAAAGTATACTTATATACATTGCCTTCTTTTAGTCGTAGGAGAAAGCAGAATTACTCCATCATAGTTTGAGGGAATGGAACTTTATTAAGGTTAAAAAACAGTCACTAGCCAGTAAGTAGCAGAATCATTAAAATTCCTTTGACAAAAAGCCATGCAAGAAACATTACAAGGTGCTTCTTGTAATGACAGTTTAGATTGCTATACTTTATTTCAGTTCCATTTTTTTTATCAGACCAAATGAGGTTTTTCAAAAGAAATTTGATTTCTCTAGGCCACAAGTTGGCAAACCTGGTCCTCCACCTGTTTTGTAAAATAGCGTTTTATTAGAATAAACCAGACCCACTCATTTACTTATTTTCTATGGCCAAATTTTGTTCTCTTGCTACAAAATAGTTGAGATAGAGACGTACAGAACCTAAAATATTTACCATTTAGCTCTTTATAAGAAAAGGCTGTCAGCCCCACTCTAGGCCATAATGTAAAGTAAAACTTTCACTCTACCAGAAACTAGTATTTATTTCCAAAATCCCTTTTAAAGTAGTTCCCTAGTGCAATAAGCAAAAGTCTTATCTGTGTAATTAAAATTTGATGGTTAACATATTTTCATGCTTAAGATAAAAAAGTGAGCTCATTCTTTTCTGGTTTGGTTCAAAAGTTTTTTCTACTCTCTTTATAGCATTTTGCTGAGCAAAAGGCCTAGAATTTCAGCATTAAATTTGAATACCAAGGATTTGCAGTTACAATGCATTTAGCTTCCTAGTTTATGATTTGGGTGCCCACTTTGAGGATGTATACATACAGTGAAGAGTTATTAACTAAAAGCCGCATTTATCAGTCCCTGGGAATTTAGAACCTAATTGAGAAAGTGGAGAAATTAGATAAATGCTAGTAAGGAAAATGCACCAAACTTGCAGGTGATAGATTTTTAAACTGGAACTATGTTTTCTATTTTTAACTTATGACTGATTTTGTATATTTAGCTGTGTTGCCCACTGTGCCTGAGTCACCAGAAGAGGAAGTGAAGGCTAGCCAGCTCACAGTTCAGCAAAACAAATTGTCTGTCCAGTCTAACCCCTCCCCTCAGCTGCGAAGTGTTATGAAAGTAGAAAGTTCAGAAAATGTTCCTAGCCCCACACATCCACCAGTTGTAATCAATGCTGCAGATGATGATGAAGATGATGATGGTAAGTTTTAGCTCTTTATGGCAAATAGTCACAGATATTTGGTGAATTAGACATCATCAGAATTAAAACCTGTTTTTAACTGTAAATTTGCTTTAAATGTTGATGTATAGATCAGTTTTCTGAGGAAGGTGATGAAACCAAAGCACCTCTCCTACAGCCACCTCCTGAAGTTCATAACGGGTTACGAGTAACTTCGGCCCGGAAACCTGGGGTCAATTTAAAGCAAGGTAAGAAGAGACTATTAATGCTAATTCCCAGTCATAAATCTTGTGCACTATTAAATGTGTCCAAACTTTTTTCCCCCCCAAAGATGAACATCCAAAGAAAAAAATTAGGGCTTTCCTAACCTTCCACCAAAGGTCAGGCAGTTCTCTTTTGCTGATTATATTTATTAGCAAAATGTTCAGAAATGTTGGCCTGTGTTGAGGTGGAAGAGAATTAAACCCCACTTTGATGGGTAAAAAATTCAAGAAATTTGAAAACATGTTTTAAAAGTCACAGTCCTAGCCCTGACCGTAATGTAATTTTCTCTCTTATACTCTAATTCTGATATATCTGATACTAAGTTGTGTAAAGCATTTAGAAAATACTCCTGTCCATTAGCTTTTTTCCCCCTCTCTGTTCTAAATTTGTTGTGGAATAATACTTTCTAGTGCAGTTGTAATCAGTGCTGAAGATGATGATGGTAAATTTTAGCTTTTTAAGGCAAACAAACAGTCACAAATACTTCCACAGAAATTGATACGTGAATTGCTAAGTATTCCCATATACTTTTCAGATAAAGGTATAAAACAAATAACTTATGATTTGTTCTTAGAAGATGGTGTTTCTATTAAACTGAATTACTCCAGCCTATCTTATTTTTTTTCTGCACCTGGGTATTTGTACCTTTGAAATTATAAGACTGTGTGTAGCCTTTTAGCGGTAACATAAAACTTACAAAGATTTATAACCATTCATGACATAACTGTAATCATTCTGTAGGTGACCAGTAGTTGCTCCTAGCTACAGTGTTGTCTCCAGCAGTACTGAGCTACTGAAACTTCTTTTCCCCTGCCACCATCTATTTCCCCTTGTACCTTTCCATCCCCATCCCTGTTAACCTCAGAAACCTCAGGATATTTATTCATGTTCTTTGGTTTTACGTTATCAAATTGTCTGCTATATAAATAGATTTGTTTTTATTGTTCTGACTTCCCTGCACATAATTCTCTAAATCCTTCCATTTTGTTGAAAATGGCTGTGTTTCATCCTTTCTTGTGGTGACTTAGTACTCTGTGGTATGGACAGACCACCACTTGATCCTGTGGTCTGTTGATGGACATGCAGGCTGTTTCCCTGCCCCAGTTCTTGTAAATAATGCTGCTGTGAACACTGGAGCGTATGGGTTTTTGTGTAGATGATTTCATATTCTTTGGATATATGCCCAATTTGTATGTTTTTTCCATTTTTATTTTATTTATTTATTTATTTATTTATTTTTTGTGGGACCCTCGCCGGTGCTGAACGAACTGGCACTGCAGAGGCTGCGGGCAGCCTCTCAGCCCAGTGCTCAACCGCTGCGCCACCAGGGGAGGCCCCATTTTTATTTTTTTAAGGTAGATCCTTTCTATACTAGTTCACTGGTTTACATTCTCGACAGCAGTATAATGGGGCTCCTCTTTTTCCACATCCTCTCCATCACTTGTTGAAGGTCTTTTTAATATGTGCCATTCTCGGGCCTCCCTGGTGGTGCAAGGGGTTAAAGCACTGCACTATGAAGCAATCTGCAGCCTCTGAAGCGTGAGTTCGATCCCCAGCCCACCAGGGTGCAACCCACCTGGTGAAGCAGACCTCTCCTGTCTTGCCCGCTGCTCCCCTCAGCAGTGTATTTTGGTTAGTCTACCTATTCTGTTCCCCGCTCTGAATCCTCTCACCCTCCACACCCCTGGCCTTCCTGTACCCCAGCTCTTGTATTTATGCTCTTGCATAAATAAAGAAATCTTTTTTAAAAAAAAAAAATATGCCATTCTCACAGTTGTGAGATGCTATCGCCTTGTATTTTTTTTTTAAAGATTTATTTATTTATACAAGAACCGGGGTACAGGCCAGATGTGCGGGAACATGAGAGGATTCACCAGAGACAGAGCAGGGAACAGAACAGGCAGACTGATGAAATACACTGCTGAGGGGAGCAGCGGGTGAGACAGGAGAGGTTTGCCTCGCCATGTGGGCATCTCCGTGGCTGACTGGGAACCAACCCCACTGCAGAGGCTGCAGACAGCTTCATAGCACTGCACTAAACCACCTGCGCCACCAGGGAGGCCCTCACCTTGTATTTTTAACCAGCATCTCTTATTGGAAGCAACTTTGACCATTTTTTCCTAGATTGGCCTTCTAGATATCATCTTTAGGCAATTGTCTGTCAAAGCCAATGCCCATTTTTGGAGTTATTTTGTCGAACTGAATGAGGCTTTTTTTAATATATCTCCCATATTAATCACTTATCAGTTACATATTTTGTAATTATTTTGTCCCATTCAGTAGGATGTCTTTTTAATTGTCTTGTATTTTCCTTTACTGTGTAGAAGCTTCTTAACTTGAGGTAATCCCAATTATTTGGTTATGGCTTTATTTCTCTTGCTGCAGGGTTGAGTCATCAAAAATATCTTTGTTGTTGACATCATGATATGTATCACCAGTGTTTTCTTATATGCATTGTTGCAAGTCTTATATCTAAATCTTTAACCATTTGGAGTTTATTTTTGTGAAGGGGGTTAAAGAGTAATCCAACTTCATTCTTTTATTTGCAGCTTTCCAATTTTCCTAGCACCGTTTCCTAAAGAGACTGTCCTTTCCCATTTTATACTCCTAGCTGCTTTATCATATGTACATGCTATATGCATGGATTTATTTCTGGGCTTTCAGTTCTATTCCATTGATCATGCATCTGCTCTTGTGCTAATACCATATATTTTTTTGTACTGTTGCTTTGTAGTGAAGTTTGAAGTCAGTAACATGATACCTCCATTTCTATCTTTTTTTCCCTTAGGGTTGCTTTTGCAACTTGAGTCCTTTTGTGGTTTCGTATAAATTTCAATATCTTTTGTTCACTTTTTAAAAAAAATATTGCCAGTATTTTGATGAGGATTGTGTTAAATTTATATATCATTTTAGGCAGGATGGTCATTTTTATTATATTGATTGTCTCCATTCATGAGCACCAGATATCTTCCCACCTCCTTATGTCTCTCTCACTTCTTCAAAGAGAGCTAACATCTTGTAGCTCTCATTGTATAGGTCTTTTTACCTCCTCTGTTAGCTATATTGTGAGGTATGTGATTATTTTTTAAGTAGTTATAATTGGAGTTAATCACATTGATTCTTCTGTGTTGGTTGTATATAAAATGGCTATGGATTTTTGCATGTTGATTTTGTAACCTGCCACTTTGCTGTATTCATTTATTGTTTCTAAACTTTTTGATGGCGTCTGTAGGATTTTCTACATATATTATCTGTGAATAGTGATAGTTTCACTTTTCTATTTTGGATTCTTTTTCTTTCCTGTGTTTGATAGCACTGTCCAAAACCTCTAGTACTACGTTAAATACAAGTGGTGACAATGGGCATCCTTGTCTTGTTTCTGATCACCATTAAGTATTATATTGGCTCTTAATTTGTGATACATGGCCTTGATTATATTGAGTTAAGTTCCTTCTATTCCCATCTTGTTTAAAAGTTTTTATCATAAAAGCCTCCCTGTGGCACAAGGGATTAAGACACAATACTGTGAAGCTATCCACAACCACTGCAGCACAAATTCAATCCCTGGCCAAGGAGATGACCCACATGCACAGCAGACCTCTTCTGTCTCGCCTGCTGCTCCTCTTAGCAGTGTATTTCAGTCAAGTCTGCCTGTTCTGCTCCCCACTCTGTCTCTGGTGAATCCTCTTACCACCCGCACCTCTGGCCTGTACCCCAGTTCTTGTATGCATAAATAATCTTTTTAAAAAAGAAGTTTTTATCATAAATGGGTTTTGAATCTTATCAAATGCTTTCTCCATCTATTGATATTATTTTGCTTTCTAACTATAACATGTGAGGTATTACATTACTTAAGCATATTAAACCATCCTTGGAGCCCCAGGATATATCCAGCTTGATTATGGTGTATAGTCCTGGTGATACACTGCTGAATTCCATTTGCTAGTATTTTGTCAAAGATTTTTGTTTTAATGCTCATCAGGGATATTAGTCTATAATTTTCTTGTGCTTTCTCTGGTGTTGGTATTAGAGTAATGTTGGCATCATAAAATGTATTAGGGAGCATTTCCTCCTTTTGGTTTGGTTTTGGGTTTTTTGTTTTTGCAGTTTTATAACTTTATTTTACCATCAGTAATTAGTTCTCACCCACACTGCCTATTTGTAGATTTTTTAAAGTTGTGCCAGGTACACAGATAACCAGTGTTTGCAGCTTGTTGGGTGAATCTTCATCCTCATTACATTTCCTAGACAACCACACAAGGATATGATCTGGGATGTTCCTTATTCCTTTGGCCCAGCTTTGTTGAACCTGTTGTCAGTGAGCACATCTGGAGTGCACCTTTCCTTCATGCAGATTTCCAGATATCTCTCAGTGCTCAAGCAGCACACTTCTTGCAGACCACTCTGTGGATGCGCTGATGAATGTTGATGGTACATTCTCTGGAAATCACCTCTATAGCATTGTTAGAACTATTACCTTGAACTCCTTTTTTGTCCTGTTGCATTTCTTCTGGGTTGGAGCTCAGGATTTTTGCTCTGGCATTTATAATGTGATTTCCTCATTTGTGATTTCTTTTGGGCTATAATAAGGTTATATAGTTCAGACTGTTGTCTTTGTACCTCTTAAAGTAATCTGAAGACTGGTACTGTTGAGTACGGTAGCAGGTATCCCAGAGGATCACGGTAGTCAGACACCAAAGGATCACCTCCAGTAAGCTCAGGAATTGGAACAACCTGTTGTGCTCTGGGTGCCAAAGGGGTATGGTAGGGATCCACATAGGAAGTTCTCCCTTCCTCTGGGCCAGCAAAGTGTTTCTTACACCTTATGTCTGCTTCCAGTCTACATTGTTTCTCAGCACTAGATGCAGCTCTGGGTATGGATTGTAATTGATATGGGGTCACAGTCATTTTCATTCCTTCTCTTGCATGGAACCTTCACTTGGGGTGTTTTCTCCTTTTATTGACAGGTGCTTAAGCTCTAGTTTGTTTCACTGTTCCTTTGTTTTTGTTTTGGCCCTGGGGAGGAGGGTGACAGGTATTTTGAATAGCACAGCCTCTAACCTCTGGCTGGGCTAGTAGCCTCTTCTGTGAGGAGATCCAGGTGATCTGACTTGCGCCCACTCCCCCTACGCTGCTGTTCTATATTGAGAGTTTCAGGCTCGAGCCAGTAATCCTTGCTCTATACCCCCACCTCTGTAGCTCACCAACAGAGCAGACTCATTCCTGGGTGCCAAATCACACTCCCTTTATTCATTGTAATGTGGGGTCTCAGGATACCCAGTACTGGTTTTGAGCTCTAGTTGACAACAGTAGGGGGCTCTCTACAGACCTACCCCTCCCTTTTGTGGGTTGTACTGCCATGTATCACTGTGAACAAAGCTTTTCCTACCCTTTTCTTCTGGACTGCTCCCCTCGTGTGTGATGCTGTCATCTGTTTTTCCCTCAAGGGGCATTTGGCTTTGTTTTACTGCAGTCTGGTTGTGCATTATCTGGAGGAGGTGAGCCTGGCATCTTCATTCTGCCCCATCTAGCCTGGCGTGTGTCCAAACTATTTTAAATACCCTTGAACTTGATTCACAATCACCACCATGCCCTCATTTTATATACACATACTTACTATATATCTTCTCCTCAAATCAGAAGATACTTGAATGCCTGCTATGTATAAATAAAACATAGCGGTGAAAAGATATTCCTCATATGATTTCTGTTTGCACTTCTCAGGTGAATGTTTGAATTTTGGAATAAAAACTCTTGAGGAAATTAAGTCAAAGAAAATGAAGGAAAAATCCAAGAAGCAAGGTGGTAAGTCATTGAGAGTTTTCACACAGGTGGTTAAATATTACCAGAGAACAAGAACATTTCTGATAATGACACATGACAGCAGGTCAAATGAGCAAATTGATTTTTTTTAAAGATTTATTTATTTATTTATACAAGCACTGGGTACAGTCAGAAGCGCAGGAGGGTGAGAGAATTCACCAGAGACAGTACAGGCAGACCGATGAAATACACTGCTGAGGGGAGCAGCAGGCGCGGCAAGAGAGGTCTGCGCGCCATGTGGGAACCCTCACTGGCGGCCGGGGATCGAGCCGGCGCTGCAGAGGCGCAACTTCGCAGCCCAGGGCTCAACTGCTGCGCCACCTGGGAGGCCCAGCAAATCGATTTTGACCTCTTATGCTTGTTTGAAATAAAACACACATATGGTTGCTTTTTAATTTCATCAAAGCTGTCTTTCAGTCCCAACTATTCAGAACTTGACATATGACAATAAAGAACCTGAAATAACTTTTTTAAAAAATTGAAGTATAATTAACAAACAAAAATTTAGCTTGGGATCTATAGTTCAAAAGAACAACATATAAACCATAGTAAACAAGGAAAAACTGTTTTGTAGTGTATGAATTCTTTAATTTTTTTTTTGTTTTGTTTTGTTTAAGATTTATTTATTCATACAAGCACTGGGTACAGTCAGAAGCGCGGGAGGGTGAGAGAATTCACCAGAGCCAGAGCAGGGAGCAGAACAGGCAGACTGACGAAATACACTGCTAAGGGGAGCAGCGGGCGGCAGGAGAGGTCTGCGCGCCATGTGGGACCCTCGCCCCGTGGCTGGGGATCGAACCGGCGCCGCTGAGGCTGCGCGCAGCTTCGCAGCCCAGTGCTCAACCGCTGCGCCACCAGAGGAGGCCCTGTAGTGTATGAATTCTTGCTGCTAAGTTTTTCTTCTGGAGCTTGTCTCAGAATGTTGATGTATACTTTTAACCCTAAAAATATAAAAATGTAGTATTTAAAGAGAACGAAATGGTCAGTTCTAAGATATGTTCTTGTGAAAATTTATTCTACAGGAACCTTGGCGTTTTGTTTTGCAGATGATTAAATGCAGATGGAAAAAGTTGAATTGCTCTTGGTTAACTTTTGAGTAACATCATCATTATTGGCAAATAAAAGTAGATTACGTGCCTAAATCTCTCAAAACAATTTTATTTTCACATTGTGCCCAAGGCAGATACAAAATACGGATTATTTCCTGTTCCCACCACCACCACCCTCTTTCACTGTAGGCAGACAGAAGCTGAAAGCCTGCTTGGTTTTCAGTTATCCAGTAGTCGTGGAACTGAGCTGGTCACAAGAATGGAACTTCTTGATAAATTGTGTTGTTTAACTTTATTCAGAAGGTTCTTCAGGAGCTTCCAGTCTTTCACTCCAACCTCAGCCCGTTCCAGGTCCTGAAAAAGAGAATGTCCGGACTGTGGTGAGGACAGTAACTCTGTCCAACAAACAAGGTGCAGTATATGTAGATAGGTGCTAAGAGTTGTCAGGCTACTCTTTGTGGGGACAAAATTCTTGGGTATATTTTTATCTTGGATGGATTTGCAGGAAGATTTTTAAGTATGTTGCTCCGATAAAAGGATGAAGTATCAGTGCATTGGACTGTGTTGAATTTTTTTTTTTTTAAGATTTATTTATGCATATAAGAGCTGAGATACAGGCCAGAGGTGTGGGGGGTGAGAGGATTCACCAGAGACAGAGTGGGGAGGAGAACAGGCAGACTGACTGAAATACACTGGTGAGGGGAGCAGTGGGCGACACAGGAGAGGTCTGTTGTGCCATGTGGGCTGGGGATCGAACTCGTGCTGCAGTAGCTGCGGGTAGCTTCCTAGGGCTGACGCTTAACCCCTTGTGCCACCAGGGAGGCCCTGTGTTGAATTCCTGATTCAAGTAGTTCTCATATTTGTGTATATCTGATTTTTACATTACTATTGTATCTATTAAATAAAGTTGTTGACCACTCATTATTTTTTACCAAATAGTATAATAAATAATATAATCCTTTAAATTACAGTGAAATGTAAAGTCCTTTTCCTTAATATTTTTAAATCTAAATAAGGAATATGATATGTTATTGTAGTATCTAGATATATTCAAGTGCTTATGACATTCAGACATCAGAGAGAGGAGAAAGAGCCCACTTCCTACTGTGCAAAAGCATAGTTTAGATTTTATACCTATAGTTGGAATGCAACTCTCTTCTCATATTCTTTGCTAATAATAATTAGGATTTTACTGCAGCTTTCCTTTAGGCTGTGCATTTGATTATTTAAATTATTATTTAGTAGTTGAATCATTTTTTTTAATGTAGTAGTCATAAGACTAGATATGATTCTCAAGAGGCTTTCTAGTAGACTCATATTAATAACAGAAAATACATTATACTAGCCGTTAACTGAATACAGAAAATTTGACTAATAGTAGAAAAATTCTGTTTTTGCTATTTTAGGAGAGGAGCCCTTGGTAAGACTGAGTCTCACTGAAAGACTGGGGAAACGGAAGTTTTCAGTAGGTAAGATGAGTTTTGTGTATGCCCTTTGTTTTCTACTTGTTATTAACATGATACCCTCTCTAAAACTCTGTTAGTCCCCCTATATTCTTGGCTTTGCACTTAAAAATTCATGTTTTTCACATATGCATTGTAATTTTCATTGAAGTCAGAGAAATTTAGAGTGTTAACTTTAGAATATTGGCAGCCTTTTATTAAAAATTTTTTTTTTTTAATTTAAGTGCCATTGTTTTATATCCTTGTTTGTTTTGCCAGTATAGGATTTCCTCACTCAGGTGTAGCCAGTATAAGACTCCCAAAACCAAAGCACCCATAGTCCTCCACCATTGTCCTTTGTGGTCTCTCCCCCGCACCTCGTGCCCCCCACCCCAACCACTTTATTATTCCTACTCCTCCCGTAGCCAGCTTTTTAGAAGGTAGTAGGTTTTTAAAATGGTAAAGAATACTGCTGTTTGTGTGGGCAAATTTAAATTTGAATTTTTAGAAGGGAAAAGGCATCTAGTTAATATAAATTTGGTCCCTGAACCAAATGAAATATGCTATTTCATATTTGGGGTGGGGGAGAAGTATTTTACCATATTAATGAGTTGCAGTGTACTAGATAATCTAGTGTGTCTGTCCCAAAAGAATAATTTTGAACTACAGAAGTTTTTTCATCCTCTAAAATGTGCTTACAAATGTGAACTCTTAATTTGTTTTGTGTTTTCCTGATGCCATTATTACCATCTGAGAAATTTTAGCTAAAATATATAGAAGTGAGCTTTTTTAGTGTCAGCATGCATATAACCTTTGTGATTTGTTTGCTTCATTTTCATAAATGAGAGAGAATCATATTCGAAGTATAGGTTCTTTCAAGTCCTTACTGGAACTCTGTAAAGTCTGTCTTTAGTCAAGTAATCCATGAAACAGTTTTTAACAACTCATTGACTTTCAAACAACTTGTATGAAACTGTGTGATATAATAATACACCAACAGTTGGAAACTTGGTTCAGGTCTTGGCTCTATCACTATTTAATTGGTCCTTGGGTAAAATATAGAATCTTTCATGACCTTAGATTTCTTCTCTGGAATGGAAAAAAGAGGCTATTTTGCCTGCAGTCTTCATGTCAGAAAAAGATTTTAAATTGTATGATTTTAAATTATATGATTCGGGCCTCCCCGGTGGTGCAGCGGTTGAGCGCTGGGTTGCGAAGCTGCCCGCAGCCTCTGCAGCGCCGGTTCGATCCCCGACCGCCGGGTGAGGGTCCCACATGGCGCCCGCTGATCCCTCAGCAGTGTACTTCATCAGTCTGCCTGCTCTGCTCTCCGCTCTGGCTCTGGTGAATTCTCTCACCCTCCCGCGCTTCTGACTGTACCCAGTGCTTGTATAAATAAATAAATAAATCTTAAAAAAAAAAATTATATGATTCTTTGGCTGTCTTCCTAGTTATCCCAGGTGCATTTGAACACAAAGTTACCTAGAATTTAACAGGCGGTCAGTTAAGATTATTTTATATATGAGGTTTTATTTCCCCTCGTATTCCTAATGTAACTAACTTCAGGGTTTACAATACTCCTTTTATAACTTTAGTGAGTTACTTGGTAAATGTTGATTTTTGCATTCTAATTTTTCACCCCTTTACCCCTTCTCTCTGGGACACTTTGATTCCTTCTCTAACATTGATTTCTAAGGAAACTCCTGAATGAATACACTGTATTGGTACAGAAAGACTACAGAATTATTCTTTGTTAGCTGTTTTTACTTGTATTTCCTTTTTCTTTCTTTAAAAACAAATTTTGTTAATTTTTTCCCCACCACCCCCTGGCTACCCCTTTGACACTTTCTCCCTTCACTTCTGTCTTTAGAATCCTCATTTCATTTGCTTCATTGTCCATGATGTAAATGTTCAATAATTGTATTTGTCATTATCACTTGCTTTACAACATATAAGTTCATCTTTCCATTTTGCTATAATAAATGGCAACATTTTGTCTGTCCTTATGGCTAAATGGCATTCCATTATGTGGTTATACCACATCTTCTGATCAGTCCTTTGCAGTGGACTTACTGTTTTTTATCTTGCTGAAGATTGACTTGAATTCCTGAACTGAATTCCTCTGTTTGTAGGTGGTGACAGTGATCCTCCCTTGAAGCGCAGCCTTGCACAGAGGCTAGGAAAAAAAGTTGAAGCTCCAGAAACTAACTCTGACAAAACACCAAAGAAAGGTTTATTTGCTTCGTTACACTTTGTGTGTGTGCGTGTGTGTGACCATGACATTTGTCTCAACAGACATTTGAGTGTTTGCTTTGCTAGAGTCTGAGTACATACCATTGGATAAAATAACCAACACCACAGTCCTTGGGAACTTAGAATGTAATGACAGATAGGAATACATGCAAATAAATACATAGATATATAAATACACAGCTTCTGTAACAGAGAAGGTACAGTATTATGGCAGTGCATGTGGAGGGTACCTAATCTTACAAATGGTCAGGAAAAGCTTAGCCTGGAAACTTGAATTAGATGAATTGGTGGTGGGAATTTTTTATGAACGTAGAAAAAGATATGTGACAAGAAAAAGTCCTGTTAAACTTTGATTTTTTTTTTTTTAAATCTTTCTATAGTTCAAGTTTCCAAGTCTCTGAAGGAGCGATTAGGCGTGTCAGCTGGTGCAAACAGTGAGGAAGCAGCAGGTGGGTAAACCTAAAACCAGCTTCTCATAGTTTTTTCCTTGTCATGTGAATACCTTTTCTCACTTTTACCTGTTGTGGTTGTATTAGGTTTGGAGTTTTTCCCTTTTCTGTTCGTGTTTTTTTTTTAAGTAATTGATTATTCACTGCTATAAATTCCTACTGTATGTAACCATGGCTAAATGATTGCTCACTACAGCATTACTAGTAAGAAATTAGAGAAAAATAGGAAATTAGAAACAATATAAATATTTAAAAATGGAATTTGATTAAACGAAGGTAGTTATGTTCAAGAGTATTGCTGTCGTGAAAAGTCACATTCTGAGCAGTTATGATGGTAACATTCCTCATTGTGTTGAACAAAGAAAGTATGTGAAAGGACATCACTTGACTAAGGGCAACATAAGAATCCTCAGGTTTTTTGGATGATGTCATCTTTTTTATTATAAAAACTTATTTTCAAGAAAAGCATGAGATGATTCCAGTATTATAAGATAAAAATACATGTCTAGGGAAACAATACCAAAAAAAATACACCAAAATATTAGAATGGGCTTTACCTGGAATATTGAGGTTTTAGGTGATTTTAATTTCCTTTATTATTTTCTTCCTGTACTCTCTTTAAACTTCTTAAATTGCAAGATATAACTACATAAGTTTATATGTGTGTGCAAATATAGAATAATAAAATGAACATCCATGTACTCAATTATTCCACTTTTATTTCTGTAGTAGGAGTGATGATAGCCTGTGCTTTCCTTTTTCATCCTTATCTGACTTGGATACATCTCTTCCCCTTGTGTGCTATGTGTTATGACCGGCGCTGTGATAGCTATAAACATGGATCTGTTTGTTCATTCTGCCTAGTAGTCAGTGGACCCTTTGAATCTAAGGTTTTTGGTTTTTTTTAGAATCTTTAATTCTAAAAAACATTCTATTAATTTCTTTTGCATATATCTTTCTTATTCCTTTTTTTGTTTTTTCTTTGAGAAATTCTTACTAGATGCTGGAACTTTTAGACGTGTGATCAACATTTCTTAATATAGCTGTCATACTTTCCATCTCTGTTATTTTTGCTTCACCTTCTATATTTTTGCTTGGTTTTTTTCCCCTCAATCAGGAATTGGTAAACTTTCTCTGAAGGTTCAGGTAGTAAATATTTTAGGTTCTGCAGTCCAGTCTCCATTGCAATTACAGTTAAATTCTCCATGACATTGGTGGGTGCTCAAAAACTGCAACTGCAAACAAAACAAGCTACTTTAAGAAGCCAGGTTCTCTGAAAACATCCTTTGGGATTAATTTTTCCCTCCCTTTTCATTATCATTATCAGGAAGTATGTTAAACGAAATGATATTCAGGTGCCCAGCTATACTAAGCTCTGCAACGCCACTATATGCATATGTGCATGGAGGAGTGTAGGTTTCTCCTTTTTCACAGTGTAAGTTTAGGCTACCCTGTGATTTCATATCTGAATCTTTTTTTAAAAATTGTGTGTTATTTTGTCGTCTTTATTATAATTTCTCTTTATTTAGGTTCATCTTTAATGTCGCTTCCATAGTTGTGACTCCCCAGGGTGGGTTTTCTCTGTGGTTTGGAAGTTCTTTCTCCCAAGTAGTGCTCCCCCATGCCTGGGAGACTTTGATGTGTCTGCTTAAGTGGAGAGAGTGCACTGAAAGGAGATTTGTACTCAGCTCTTGTGTAAGGTCGCAGCCTGGAAGGCTGGGGTCCCAAATAATTGGCATAGTAGAAGATTTTCTTTACTTTCAGAGAACTGACTTCTTTCTCTAGCTTTTGTTTTTTGCTCTTCTCCCATTTTTTCTTTTTTTCTGTTTGGTATTTGTAAAAACATGAAATTTTTGTCTTCTACTTCTCTCCACCCTCCTCATCCTCATAATTTGCTCTCTTCCCTGGCAGATAGCTCCTCTTTTTAGAAAACAGTTCTCAGGAGGAGGTCACAGCTGGCCCAGTTGTTGTATAGACCACCCTTAAATTTTTACCCACTAATGCCTTTCATACTTTGGCAGCTTTAGATTTGTTAGCAAGAACAGATCTTATACCTACAGTTTTATCTATTTCTTTGTAAATGTAGCTATCTGCTTGTGTCTCAGAAATTCCTCAAGATTTAATCTGTGCCAGTGGTATCCCTTCCCCCCCCCCCCCCCACTGCTGTCATGAATGGCTTGAAGCATTGTCTGTCTTCTATCAGTTTAATTAAATTTTGGCAGGATCAGGAAAATAGGGTGCGCATGTCACCATTCACGTTGCACTTTCATGGAGTGGTAATTTTGAGATCAGGCTGACTCTTGAAATGGAAGAATTTTTATTCAAGAGACCCAAGGAAATAACTCAGTGACTTTGAGTGCTTCCTATGTAACAGACAGTGCAGTTCACCCTGAATAAATTGGGTTTGAACTACATGGGTCCATTTATATGTGGATTTTCTTGTAGACGACATGAACTTAAAGTATCAATAAGTACAGTACAGTACTATAAATATATTCTCTCCCTTACAGTTTTCTTCATAGCATTTTTCTCTAGCATTATTGTTAAATATATGGTATGTAATACATGTAGCATAGAAAATGTTAACTGGCTGTTAATGTTATTAGTAGGCTGCTGGTCTACAGCAGGTCATTAGTAGTTAAGTTTTGGGGCAATCAGAAGTTATACATTGATTTTCAAAAGTGCAGGGAGTTCCTAATCCCCGTTGTTCAAGGGTCAGCTGTATATTAGACGATTGCAGATAATTAATAGTCACTTTTCTTGTGAAGTATCTAATGTAGTTAGAAATACAGGCAGTTATATTACTATGTGATCAGTCCTGTTATCAGAGAAACAAAGAAGACCAGAGGGTGGCAGGTTCTAAGCTAAACTTAGTTCAAACTAATGAGGTAACAAAACAAATGAGACATTCTATATAGAAGAAATAGCATATTCAAAGGTTCAGAATGTAATAGAATAAACATAATGTATTTAAGATGTGAAGGGACATTATTTAGTTTTGATACTTCATTCAGAGCTGTTATTCAGTGATTAAGTTTTGTGTATATAATCTCCAAATCCTGTTATTTCCACATCACTTCATTATTATTTAGCCCTATAGTAGCAATGATAGGCATATCTGTCAAGTATGAAATTTATTCTTTAATTTAAATATGGAATGATGAATGGATCATTAAAAATACTTCTTTGAGATGTGGTACATATACATAATGGAATATTACTAAGCAATCAAAAAGATAAACTCATGCAATTTGCGGCAACATGGATGGAGCTGGAAGGGATCATGCTCAGTGAAATAAGCCAGGAAAAAAAAAAAGAAAAATACCTGATGGTCTCACTTATAGCAGGAATTTAGAAGACCCAAAAAAGGGATCAGGAAAAAGACTAATTATGATAAAGTAAAAATCAAAATCAACAGGCAACTATAAACCAGAGACACCCTATAGGGGGGAGAAGGAAGCAGGATCAAAACAAGGCTGGTGGGAATTTTATGGGGATTATAACAAAGATGAAAATGCATACATTGTACAAAAATGAAAAATGATAAAAAAATTACTTCTTTGGTAACATGCCAATCTCTGAGTGTTTCCCGTTTTTTTTTTCTGTTTTACCTCATTTTCACCATTATTACCTCTTATCACTTACTATTTTGTCTGAAAAGCTTCTCTTAATTCCTAGAGATTAGTGTTTTTGCTACATACTCCTGTGTAGCATTGTGCTTTATTTATCAAAGCTGTTATTATAATACTGTGTTGCTTAATTATTGATCTGTTAGGCTATAAACTACATGTGGGGGGAGATTGTATTTTGCTGACCATCATATTTTTAGCAGTATCCAGCACATGTTTGATCTATGAGTGAGAATTAATTTATTCCCGTTTTTATTGGTAAAAGTTAATAACACATTTTAACTAGTAAATGGCTCTCAGGTTCCTCAAGAATAAGCTTCTGAATAGAAATTCAAATGAGTAATTTTTGCCTCCTAAGAGATTCCCCTGAGGGCCATTACCAGAAACATGTTTTATTCTAAAGTTAAGATCAAAACTCATGTACTTTTGATCATTTTAATTGCCTGTCCAAATGATACTGTTCTATTGGATGCTGTCCTGATCTAAGGATAGAGAGAGCATGTCAATAAGAGATGAATTCCAGGCCTTCCTGGTGGCGCAGCACTGTGAAGTTGTCCGCAGCCTCTGCAGCGCTGGTTCGATTACCACATGGTGCGGCAGACCTCTCCTGTCTCGCCCGCTGCTCCCCTCAGCAGTGTATTTCAGTCCTTCTGCCTGTTCTGCTCCCTGCTCTGTCTTTGGTGAATTCTCTCACCCTCCCACGCCTCTGACCTGTACCTCAGTGCTTGTATAAATAAATAAATCTTAAAAAAAAAGAGAGAGATGAATTCCAAGTACAGTGACTTGTTTTTCCCTCATAAAAATAGAGAGAGTGACTAAAATTGGTGAGATCCATGTGAAGACCTTGGAAGAAATTCTTCTTGAAAGAGCCAGTCAAAAACGTGGAGAATTGCAAACTAAACTCAAAACAGAAGGACCTTCAAAAGTTGATGATTCTACTTCAGGAACAAGAAGCTCCTCCAATATCCGAATCAAAACCTTCTCTGAGGTTCTGGCTGAAAAGAAACACCGACAGCAGGAAGCAGAGAGACAAAAAAGCAAAAAAGATGTAACCTGTATCAAGCTAAAGACTGACAGTGAAATTAAAAAATCTGCAGTCTTGCCGCCCATAGTTGCCAGCAAAGGACTATCAGAGGACCCTGCAGGCAGAACAAAGCCTATGCAGGAGGTGCATATCAAGACACTGGAGGAAATTAAACTGGAGAAGGCCCTGCGGGTACAGCAGAACTCTGAGAGCAGCTCCAGCGCCCAGCCTCTGCTTGAGGCCACCCCAGGTGCAAGGCGGCTTCTCCGAGTCACCAAAAAAGCAGGTAACAAACAGCTAGGTCTGTAGCACCGTTTCCTCAAATAATATTTTAAAGGACAGTATCGCACAGGATATTCATAGGTGTCCTGTGAAAACTTTTCTTAAGTGATTTTGAAAATCACTGGATTAAATAAAGTTAAGGTATTTCTTTATATCAGTACTATCTAGACCTCTGCTATTCTAATGGGCATTTTGAAATTTTATGACTAATGGACTTTAACTACAATTATCATTACTTTCTTTAAGAAAAGTTTTAACTTTATCTCTCTTGAAGTTGCAGCCCGTGAAATAATTGATGTGTTTAATGTGCACATAGGTATAAAAGAAGAAAAGAAACTTCAAGAAGAAAGTGAAGTTGTTTCTCAGAACAGTGTTAATAGGACAGAGGCTAAAGAGGTGAGTGTGTTTTCCATCATTTTATAGTTTTGTCCATGGCAAGTAAAGGCTCAGTGAATGGGCCTTCCTGGTGGCGCAGTGGTTGAGCGCTGGGTTGCGAAGCTGCCCGCAGCCTCTGCAGCGCTGGTTCGATCCCCAGCTGCTCCCCAGCCACCGGAGGAGGGTCCCACATGGTGCATAGATCTCTCCTGCCACCCGCTGTTCCCCTCAGCAGTGTACTTTGGTCCTTCTGCCTGCTCTGCTCCCCGCTCTGGCTCTGGTGAATTCTCTCACCCTCCCGTGCTTCTGACTGTGCCCAGTGCGTGTAAAAATAAATAAATAAATAAACAAACAAACAAACAAATAAATAAACCTTAAAAAAAAAAACAAATGAGAGACTCTTGAGGTCTCCCTGTGAGGTGATCAACCTCTAAAAAAAAAAAAGGCTCAGTGAATGGCAAAATATGCTTTTTAATAAAGCTTGTAATAAATTTCTATTTTACACTTCACTGATATTATTTTACTATAGTAAGTGAATTGTCTTTTACTATACATATAATTTTCTATGAGCGTGTTCTGAATTTTTGTTTATATCAGTGTTCCCAACTTTTTTTAATGTTGTTTTTTTAAATTGCCATTAAATAATTTTTAAGCTTGTTTTTTTCCTGTCTTTGAGAGTAATGCCACTCATTGTACAAAACTTGGGAATTTTTATTTTGTGAAAGAATGAGAACCTCTGAGATTCCACAAACTAGATGTAACCACCATTAGTTTTTGTCATGGATTTCCTTTAGGCCTTTTGTTTATATATGTAAGCATGTAACTTGTTTCTATGTTTAGCTCATTTTTAGACTGTAATTGAGAACTCTACAGTGTATCATTTTGCAACCTACTTTAACCTACCTTAATTCTTCAGGACATTTGTTTTTGCTAGTCATAAAACGTTCTATTATACAAATATAATCTGGCTCTGGACATTAAAATTTTATTAAGATAATGAATGTCTTTGTATATAAATCTTTTGCAAGTGTCTTATTATTTAGGAGTCATTTGCATTAGATTTAGGGTCATAATTGTCTACTCTGTAGAAGGTGGATTTCTGTTTTCCTGCACATTTTTAATCATCTTTAGCCTGCTTCTTTCTATTTGACATCAAATAAAAGGCAAAAGATCTTTATTTGTGAATATACATGAATGTCTGACTTAGATGTTAACCTGGTAACTTACAAATAATAGCAATCCTATAAGTAGATTACAAATACTAGATTTTAATTCATTTTAAACTTATTTATAGGCTTCAGGTGAGACTGTAGGAGCTGACATCACTAAAATTCAAGTCAAGAGATGTGAAACCATGAGAGAAAAGCACATTCAGAAACAGTCGGAGAGGGGAGCCTCACAGAAGGAAAAATCAGTGTTGACACCCCTTCTGGGGGATGTGCTCACTGCTGTGCCAGGCATCACACGGCACCTGACAAAGAGACTTCCCACAAAATCATTCCAGAAGGTGGAGGTAGAAACCTCAGGGATTGGGGACTCAGTATTGAATATAAAATATGCAGCACAGACCTTGGAAAAAAAGGGAAAAGGTGAGTGTGTTTCCTGGCCTGTCTTACTTTAGGATTTCAAAATTACAGTGTCAGTAACTCGCTGGCAACAATTGGGTTGAATTTTATTTGTCTAATATACTGGGCACACCATTGGCTAGTAATATTTAAGATAATTCTGTCGTTTGGGATCGTTTTTGGAGTTTTTCATTTCTAATTAGTTGTATGTTTCTCAGGCTATGAAGGATTTTGATATTCTGAGTTATTCTTTGTGAAAGAGGAATTATTCTAGTTATTAACTCAATGTTTTCTGTCTCTTATAGCTAAACCCAAAGTGAATGTGAAGCCATCTGTGGTGAAAGTTGTCTCATCTCCCAAACTGCCCGCAAAACGCAAGGCAGCAGAGGTCCATCCCGCTGTCATTGCAGCTGTAAAGCCACTCAGCAGTAGCGGTGTCCTGCAGGAGAGCCCGGCCAAGAAAGCAGCTGTGGTAGGTCAATCGAGCCCAGTGATGCGTCAGTCCGTGTAGTACGGCAGCAGGACAGATGAACTCTGTTAGCGCTAGCTGTATCTGTGTGTAATTCTTCTGCCCTTTCCTAAGCACTCTGCTTGTGGAGTGACAAGATGGGATTTTTTTAAAAGCTAATTTTGGTTTGATATGTATGATATTTCAGATTATCTGTTCTTACATTCCTGGGCTTACAGAATGATGTCCATAAATCTGAGAAGGCAGCAGAAGAAAATTAATATGCTCAAATTAAAAGGCCTGACTCCCACTGAATTACGTTGTTCTTACTTTTGTAGGCTGTTGTCCCACTCTTCTCTGAGGATAAGTCAGTCACCATGCCTGAGACAGAAAAACCTAGAGACAGGTAATGCCTTGAATTCTTTTTACCCAAGCTTTAGTCAACTATTACTGTTTATGCTGTCTAAGGAATAAAAATTAACTTGAAACATTTACAGTTTAGGAACATCTGAGATCTAAGTAAGCCTGCTAAACTTCAGATTCATTGCAAAAAAACTTGAAACTCAGGGGTGCTATCTTCCTTGGGTGACTTAGTTTATATTTTGCCTATTTGAATTCTGCTTTAAAGGATGAAAATGCCTTGTCCCAATACAGGAATATAATTGTCTGTTTGCCCTTAAAAACAAATTTTTTTTTTCCCTTATCAGTGTTGTGCTGCCTCCAGCTCAATCTTCTTCAGCTCCCTCCCCACCGGAAGTGTCTGGCCCTTCCTCATCCCAGATGGCCACAAAAACTCGCCGACTCAGCTCTGCCTCAACAGGAAAGCCACCACTCTCTATGGAGGATGATTTTGAAAAACTAATATGGGAAATTTCAGGAGGCAAATTAGAAGCAGAGATTGACCTGGATCCTGGGAAGGATGAAGATGACCTTCTTCTTGAGCTATCAGAAATGATTGATAGCTGAAGGTGGTAGTAGAACATTTAAACAAAAAAAAAAAAACCTCGCCAAAAAACTGGACTTAGTTTCATCTATTGTAACATTTACCAAGATGATCATTTCTTTAGTCTAGAATTTCCCCAAAACCAGAAGTATACCTCTGAATTATATGTATGTGTCCTGGATTCCTTGGGATGAGATTTTTAAACTCCCTTGACAACCATTTTGTCCATCTGATGCCATGATTTAGCATCTTTGAGAAAAAAGTTGTGTCTTACCCCTCTTGCCACAAAAAGACAGAGGGAGGGAGATTCAAGTGAAAGAGGGTGCAAGAAAATCTAGTGACTCCTTGAGGTGTTTGTCAGTTTTGGCTTTTTCCCCTTTGTTGTATTATTTCTTTCATGTATTGTCTTAGCTATACTTAATGTTGCCCAAGTTTGAAAAGGAATGAAGACAGCTGCTACCATTAAGGACCAAATTTCATGCTAGCACTATACTACAACAGCAAAAATCCACTCAGTCTGTGTTAAATTGTATGTCTATTTAAAGGTATATGGAGAGTCAACTAAGCTTTAGAGAGAGCTGAGCAGCTCAGAAAGCCTGTAATCTGGACATTACTTTTTGGATCTGATTTTCATACTTCTGCTGCTCTGTAAACCTCTGAAAAGCAATAGCTAATTTATTATTACTGTAATTTGTTTAAGGCTTTAAAGTGCCTCAGGGGTCCTATGAAACTAATTTTCTATTTCTGGGATTCCCTGGATTTGTAAGAGATGGTGACAAAGTATTAGAGGAATTCTGTCTTTAATATAAAAGTTGTCCCTTCTCTTCGGTACTTGTCTCTTACTAACATTGAATTATCACAGAGATAAAAATTGGTTAATTTTTTATTAGTAACTCTCCCAGCAAACTCCTTTTGCCCAGTATTTATTTGAGGCCCTTTAACCACTTTAGGGGAAAAAAATAACTCATGCAAGTCGCCAATATTTCTCTCTGGACTGTAGCAGTGCACAGAATTGTACTGTCAGCAGGGATTACTGAGACGCTCTGGGGGTGTATTGTATACCTTCCAGTTTTCTTCATTTCTGAATTGGATTTTCTTTTGATGTTGGTCTCCTTCATATCACCTCAAGGTTTAGACTTGTGGAGGAACAAGTATGATGGAGATAATAGTCTTGAAAAGAGACATACTGTACATAATCAGAAGGAAAAGGAAAGAAGGACTTGTCTACTTTGACGTTTTGCTGTAGGTGGCCACTTTTGTTTCTCATAGGGAAATCTGACCCACCTATCATGTTGGCTCCTAAGGAACTGCTGTTGTAAGCGGCTCATCAAGAGTTGAACTTCATGTAGCCTTGTCGGGAATATGGAAAAGGAAGAAAGCCACGGGACTGCTCATTCAGTCTTGGGAAGATCTGGATGACTCTGCACAAGCAAAAATGACTTGAAATTTATGTATAGACACTTCTCTACCAGTCCATCTTCAGCTGACTGAATGTTGTATAATAGCCCTTCTCCAAAGCAGGGGTGGAATGTTCTGGTTTCACCGTAGATTTTTTACTCATTTCATTTTGGGAATTGGCGTATAAATTCCAGGTCCCTTTTGTATATAACCTTTATTCTTTTGCTTTTTTAAAAGTTTGTTTCATATTTATAGCCCTTGTATTAGTCAGTGATTCATGTTCAGCATTATTTGAACCATTTGCCATTACAGAAAGAGAAATACTTATTTGTGTTTTAAATAAAACTGGCATAGGAAAGTCTTGACGTTGTGAGTTAAGTAGTCGTAAATACTTCAGCCTCGATAGAGGCCCAAATCAGTATGTTGTTGGCCTTTTGTGTAACTGCTCCAATTTCACAATTATTTGGCTTTAGAAAACTTTCACAAGAACATACTGCTAAACTTACCCACACGAATTGTTCAGTTTTATCAACATGTGCTTTAGACAGAAATAATATTTTAGGTGAGAATTTTTTTTTTCTAACATTGATATGTAGCCATTATAACTAAGTAATACCGTTGTGTAGCAGGACAGAGGGTTTAGAAGTGTTCTTAGATAGATTCAACAACTTTAAGTTTTCAAACATGAAGGCATATTTTTAATTCGGGGAAGTCCGTGTTTATTGTCTCAAGATAAATGCTTCCTAAAGTTCTGACCTTAACCTCAAATGCCAGTGGATCTTTTCATTCTGATGGCCAGAATATAGTTCCTTTTGATCTTGACCAGTCTTTGAATCCAGCAAAGAAATATGACAGTTGCAGAAATATAACTTGTTCTATATTAAATGTCCTTTTTTAAAAATTGGCTTCATTTTGCCAGAATATGTGCACAATCCCTTAAAATACTGTATTGTTTTGAACTTGACAGTTTTAAAATAGCCAACATTTACTGAGTATGTATTATGTACCTCTTAGTTCATACAACCCTTTTGACACTTATCACCTACACTGCCCTGGAAGGTCACTACTACTTATCCTCACTGTGAGGCTGAAATCAGCATGCTTAAATTTAACAGTCAGATTGTACATTCTTATGTGCAATGGCTTTGATTCATTGAGCCTTCTAAGAGCTCTTTATCTTTTAAATCTGATCTTAGGAAGCTGCCTATATAGTTCCCACAACCCATGCATCTAACTACATTTTTTATTATTTGAATTACCCAAATTGTTTCCATTTATTTGATTTTGCCAATTGATGTTAAGGACATGAGGACAAATGCTTAATCTTGACCATTTTCTTAACATTGTACAAAATGGGCAAATAATAATGACCTAAATAAGAAACTGCAATTTTAGAAAGTTAATTTAGGGGTAGGAATTTGCAAGTTAGTAAAATGCCTAGATTTTGCACTTAACTGCTAAGGTGATAAAGAATCTTGAGTCTAGTGATAAGCAAAAAGCTGCGAATTAAACCTGTCTGTCCTTGGGTTTCTTGGTTTTATACTCAATAACTGACTTGTCCTCAGGAGTAAAACAACTTTTAGAATTGTTAATAAGGATAAACAGCCAAGATTTTGATTCTAAAGACTCCTGTTTGAAAAAGCAAGTGAATGAGATAGGGATCCGAATGGATCAAGTATTCTCAAAAGAAACAGGAGGGGGAGATTTTCAACTGGAAGGAGAACACTTACCAGAGAAGTGTGTGTGGTTAGGAAAGTGCTTATTTGGTTAGGAGTTCAAGGGGAATAGCCGAGTTAGAAAGGTTGCTGTGAGGAAAAATGAAAGATACAGTGGCATAATGGCCACAAAATACTTTGAACCTCATCCTCTGACGAGGCTCAAATTAGAACCCGAATTCCAAAACACTACCAGCAACAGAGGCAGAACCTTGAAATACAATTAACCCTTGAACAGCACAGGGGTTAGGAATGCTTGACCCCACACATGTAGCTTTTGACTCCCACAAATCTTTAGTTGTCTCGGTATCCAACAAATTTCAGAATTCCTGCAGATACTAAAATCCCAATGTGTTCTACCTAGCCCTTACTCTGCCCTCCATATCTATGGGCTCAGCATTCCCAGATTCAACCAACCAACAACCAAGTTCGGTTGAATCCATGAATGCAGAATTCACTAAGGAGAGCAAATGTAGAAAAAATTTTCCCTGTATAAGTGAACTCATACAGTTGAAATCCATGGATCAACTATACTTAAGAAATACTTCTCAGGGAAAAGCAACAGGAGTGAAGAAGGTGCAAGTACTAAGAGAATGACCAGAGGAATGAGTGAGAAAGCAAACTGGTCAGGGAAGGTTTTCTTGAGGTGTGAGAGCCGGAGTTTTGTGTTGCTTAGTAAAAGAGATGATTTGAACGGCAAACAGCCGTGCTGGGTATAGAAGGTTTGTTTTCGTGACATCTGATCATCTCACCCCATTAGTACACTCAGTCTGCCTTGTCTCCTTGCTCTCAGCTTGCTGTCAGTTTCTTGGCTAAGATAGAAGCTGATCCTTTAGAAAAAAAAAAGGAAGATCTATTTAAAATACAAACCTGAGTCACTGCCACGTAAAATCTTCCAATACCTTCCCCTCCCTCCAAAATTAAGTTCATTTCCCTCAGACTCTGTTCTGCCAGCCTCCTTTCCTGCCACTCCGTCTTCATGTTCCACACTGCAACAAAGATAACTTCCTACATTCTCTCAAGCCCTCTCTCTTTGTCGATGCTGTCTGTCTTCTATGCAAAAGTCTTTTCTCTTGGCCAATGTCTACACATTTTATATGCCACACTCCAGGCTACCTCTCCCCAGCCGGGTGTAGTGCCTCTCCACGAGGCGTATGCTCTTCACTTACCCATTGTTCCAAATCCTTTATCTGTCCATCCTCAGCAGCTATAAACTTTTTTTTTAATATAAGATTTACTTACACAAGAACTGGGGTACAGGCCAGAGGCAGAAGGGTGAGAGAATTCACCAGAGACAGAGCAGGGAGCAGAATAGGCAGACGGTACAAAAACACTGCTGAGGGAAGCAGCAGGCAATACAGGAGAGGTCTGCTGTGCCATGTGGGTATCTCCCTGGCTGCACGGGAATCAAACCACGCTGCAGAGGCTGCGGACAGCTTCATAGCACTACGTTCAGCCCACTGCACCACCGGGGAGGCCCTATAAACTTCTTTAGATTTACTAACCTATTCAACACATAGTCTCAATACCTAGCCCAGACCTGGCACTCAGAAGGTGTGTGAGTCTGCTATGATTGCCACAACAAATACCACAGATGGGGGGTCTTATTCTACTACACAAGTTTTTCTCACAGTTTTAGAAGCTGGAAGTCCAGGATCAAGCTGTTGGCAAGTTTGGTTCCTTTCTTTGCAGATGTCCGTCTTGCTCTGTCTTCATGGGGTCTTTCCTCTGCATGCACAGCTGTGTTAGCCTCTACATGGGCAACTGCCAGCCTGGATTAGGGCCCACCCAAATGACTTCACCTAATGTTAAATACTTTTTAATACCCTAACTCCAAACACAGGTCACATTATGAGGTACTAGGGGCTTAGAACCTCAACATGAGTTCTGGGGGGCACACTTCAGCCAATAGTCTTTGCTGAATGTGAAAAAACATTCTTGACCCATTCTCAGGGACTGCTAATTTCTCTACATGGCCCCTGTCCCTTCCCAGCCCCATTCTTTGGCACTCTTCTAATTGACCACAACCATTTACTGAATTATGAAGCTTCTAGTTGAGATCGAAGAAACAGCAAGCTGAGAGGAAAGCTGTCCTTTAATATTTGGGAGTCGTGGAAGTAACTTCTCAAAGTGGGTCTCTGGATGCACAGTTCTCAAGCCTATTGTGGGGAGTGCCATGAAAATCTCAAATTTTTTTAAAAGATTTATTTCTGCATACAAGAACTGGGGTGCAGGCCAGAGGTGTGGGGGTGAGAGGATTCACCAGAGACAGAGTGGGGAGCAGAACAGGTGGATTGACTGAAATACACTGCTGAGGGGAGCAGCGGGCAAGACAGGAGAGGTCTGCTGCACCATGTGGGTCACCTCCTTGGCCAGCCAGGGATTGAACTCGTGCTGCAGTGGCGCCACCAGGGAGGCCCCCAAAATCTCAACTTTTTATACATTCCAGATTAATTGCAATAAAAAAGGCATTTTTCCACTATTTAATGAATTCATTTAATTGGTGATGTCAATCTAACAGGGGAAATGATTTCTCAGTGTCATTTAGTTTCCAAGTTTAACGAGTTAAGTTAGGTAATCTTTTCATATGTTTGAAGACTGACTATATTTCTTTGCTATAAACTGATTGCTCACACCCATTGCCAATTTTTATTTTGGGTCTTGTGTCAGAATAAAAATGGCTGGCTGCATAGTCTTCAACACATCTCCCATTAAGAGGCGGGCCTTCTGGTACTTGAGTCTGGTCTGGTGTGAACATTACATTAGTTCCAAACCTGGCTTTTCAAGGTACTGGTGACTTTGGCCTTGATTTTAGAGCCCTAGGTCCCCATGTAAGAAAGCACACTGCTCTGCCATAGACGACTTGTGTGGGCAGGCCCTGGGGCTATGTCTGTAGGGCAGCTGCCAGCTGCAGCCAGTCTGCCAAATGCACACACCGAGGCTTTGGAGACCGAGGCTTTGGAGACTTGCTCAGTTGAGCCCCGTCCAAATTCTTGACCTACAAAGTCATAAATTAACACAAAATGGCTGTTGTTTTAACTACTAAGTTTTGAAATATTCCTTACATAGCAATTACTAACCAGAAGAGCTTTTTCCTGAGTTCTTCACATATCAAAAGTATATTTGTAAAGTTAGCAACTTGTCTGATGTGGTGCAGCTATATTTCTCCTGGGTCTTTAGACTTTGCTTACTATGGTGGCTCTTTAGTCATGCAGATTTTTTTTTTTTTTGAAGATTTATTTATGCACCCAGAGGTGCAGGGGTGAGAGGATTCACCAGAGACAGTGGGGAGCAGAACAGGCAGACTGACTGAAATACACTGCTGAGGGGAGCAGCGGGTGAGACATGAGAGGTCTGTTTTGCCATGTGGGTTGCTGTCTGGCTGGTGATAGAACTCAGTGCTGCCGAGGCTGCAGATTGCTTTACAGTGCTGTGCTTAACCCCTTGCACTACCAAGGAGGCCCAATCATGCAGAATTTATTTATGCATTTGAATTTATCAGGATGCTAGAGCATCCTGTCGAGGAGAAGACAAATTGCAAGAAAAAGAAAGATGAAAGGGCCTCCCTGGTGGCGCAAGGGGTTAAGCACAGCACTATGAAGCAATCTGTAAGCCTCTACAGCACGAGTTCTATCCCCCGGCCCGCCAGGGAGCAACCCACATGGTGCAGCAGACCTCTCCTGACTCGCCCACTGCTCCCCTCAGCAGTGTATTCCAGTCAATCTGCCTGTTCTGCTCCCCAATCCGTCTCTGGTGAATCCTCTCACCCCTGCATCTCTGGCCTGTACCCCAGCTCTTGTATGCATAAATAAATCTTTAAAAAAAAAAAGAAAGATGAAATATTTTTGATGAAACTAGGTAAATTAGAAAGAAGTAAACGCTAAAGATTACTAAAAACTTCTCAAGTACTTGAATATTTGAATAAAGACATCATGTACTTAGATCTGAACAAATTAATTCTAAGTTGTTTTACAGTTAGATGTAATCACAGTAAAAAAAAAAAAAAAACTACCGGGCCTCCCTGGTGGTGCAAAGGGTTAAGCACAGCACTATGAAGCAATCAGCAGCCTCTGCAGCAGAGTTTGATCCCAGGCAGGCCAGAGAGCAACCCACATGGCGCAGCAGACCTCTTCTGTCTCGCCCGCTGCTCCCCTCAGCAGTGTATTTCAGTCAGTCTGCCTGTTCTGTTCCCCACTCTGTCTCTGGTGAATCCTCTCATCTCCTGTATCTCTGGCCTGTACCCCAGCTCTTGTATGCATAAATAAATAAACCTTTAAAAAAGAAAAAAAGAAAAAAAACTATCAAAAATGATTTTAAAACAATTAGATAAGCTAATTTTAAAGTTTGTAAGAAAAATAAACATGGATAGGAAAATTTTGTCCTCATCTAGTCCTATCAAATAAGAAAACATAATACAATATTTATAATGGTGATACATGGCCATAAAAAGACACAAAAATCAATTGTGCAAAATAGAAACTATATACATTCACATACACTTGGCATATTTTAAATGTGGCATTTCGGATTGAATTGGGAACTATGAATTTTTTTTGTAGTAATGAAAACAGTGTAGCCATCTAGAAATTATCAAGCTGTATCAGTTCTAAGATATACTAGGATAAATTCTAGATGTATCTATGATTTATATGTAAAAAAGCAATATTATTAAAATCACTCCTGATGACTTGTATTAGCAGTCAAATGATTGGCAACAGGGATTCCCCCAAAATTTTAAAAATCATTACTTCAGAAACAGGAGAATGCAAAAATCAGTAGCTGAATATGTGTGCATCTGAGATGGGACAGACATTCCATTATGTTCTATGCATGCTATCTTTGAATTCACCAAATCTATCTTCAGTTTACTCTGTGCACAATAAGACCTACTGGGTTTAGGGTGGGGAAATTTTTTTTTTTTCACAAAAATAATTATACCATGTGTTTTGTAGCTCTTTATAGTTTAAAAATCACTTTCATATCCTTTGATCTCTACACCTCTATGAGATCAGCATTAATATCTTCATTAAACATAAGAGCCCAGGTCAGCAAGTTATGATTCTGCCACTTGCCCCAAGTCCCCTTAACCCCTTCAACTCTGAGTTTCAGTTTTCTCACCTATAAAACAGACATTCCAATGGAATGAAACTTCTGCCAGATCACAAGCCCATGACATAACCTAACAAACTCCAGCTCCTCCCATCCCAGCGGCTGTTACCCAGGACACGCTAAATTTGAACACTGAGGGCTTCAAGTGCACGTACACTACCACTTCATGAACAGCAACCCCTGAGCCCTGCAACTGGCTCTCAGCGCTAATTAGCCGTGCTCTGTTGCTCCCTGCAAAGCTGTCGATGCAGAAACAGGGCCCAGCTTTTTCTTTTTTTTTTTAAGATTTATTTATTTATGCATACAAGAACAGGGGCACAAGCCAGGGGCGCGTGTGGTGAGAGGATCCCCCAAAGACAGAGTGGGGAACAGAACAGGCAGACTGACTGAAGTACACTGCTGAGGGGAGCAGCAGGCGAGACAGGAGAGGTCTTGCTGCGCCATGTGGGTAGCTCCCTCGTTGGGGATCGAGCTCGTGCTGCAGAGGCTGCAGATAGCTTCATAGGCGGCCCAGGGCCCAGCTTTTGAACTGAGACTGCCCGTGGCTGAGGGTGCCCGTCGTAGAAGCCCTGAAATGGGGTTTCTCGCTGTCCCGCCCTCTCTGGGACAATGTTGCCATCCAACCCAAATTCTAGGAAACCAGGCCTTAGAAAAGGGACTAACCCAACCATCTCAGGCAGAGGTACACAACCTGACGAAGACGCCACCACCCACCCCGCGTTCACGGCACCAAAGACCCTCAGAGCTTTCTTCCACCCCTGTCCTCCAGGCGGCGCCGTAGGACCGACCCACGTCCCAACACAAGTCTCCTCGGTTTGCCGCCCCCGGAAGCTACAGAGCACAGAGTATCGTGGCTAGAGAGGCATTTCCCAGGAGCCACCCAGGTCATCGCGCTAGCAAGTACTTCCGCTTCCGGCTCATTATTCCGGAAGTTGCCCCTGAGCTAGCGTGCGACTTAGTGTGGTCTTTGTGAGCTTCCACCATGGCGTACCGCGGCCAGGGTCAGAAAGTGCAGAAGGTGATGGTGCAGCCCATCGTATCCTACGCGGGATGTCTAGGACTAGGAGGTTCGGGACGGAAACGCGGGAAGGAGGGAGCAGGGAACAGGCCCGGGGGAGCGGAATGCGGGCCACATCCCATGAGCCACCGGGGCGACCGAGCCGGGGAGAAAGCGCGGGTAGTTGAAGAGCCGGGGATGGGTGGGAGGTGGGCTCGGGCGGACCCTGCGGTGGGCAATGCAGGGTGGTGGGGGTGTGCGAGGGAAGACACTTTTAATTAGGTACTGAGTGAAGAGAGTTCTCGGTCTCAAGACTGGGGCTTGGGGGTGGGGGAATGTTCCTTCAAAGCCTTGTTGGACCCCATAGCTCCTAGTTGGACACTTTTCATTATGTAGACACAAGATCTTGTTTGAGGAAACACGGTGAGAAGGGGTGGGGTTTGACCAGTTTCAGGGAGCAGAGCATGCTGTGTGTGTATTTTTTCCTTAACCACCGATGCAGAACCTCATCTTCAGATACTTGCAAAATGTACGTAAGTTGTTTGTGGTTTGTTGCTTTGTAATTGCTTCTTAAGCAAATGGTAAATTTACTGAGCTATTGTTTTATCCTGTCTGATCACTGTCCTAGAGTTCAAAATACATGAAACGCGAGATTGGAGGAGCATTCCAGGGGAAGAGGTAGAGGGTGGGCTCTCATTTGATAAAATGGTGTCTAGCGATGCCAATTCCAAGCTTGCAAAGAATTGTACCGTTACTATTTTCCTGTCCAAAATTAATTAAAATCATTATTGGCAGACATGACAGTGCTAGTTGGGCACTGTCTTTATGAACACGATGTTGGAAACTTTACCTCTTTGCCCCACAAGTATGGGAGGAAAAGCAAATCAGCTTAAAACTTGGTATACGGTGGTGTGTTTAGTACCTGCAGGGAAACTTAAAAATTGAGAAGACACTAAAAGAGAAAGAGGGGAGGGATTATATCAGAGAATTTAGTGGCAGTCGGCTTTACTTGAGGGTGTTTTTTTTTTGGGGGGGGGGGTAAAGATTTAATTACTTATATAAACACTGGGTACAGTCAGAAGCGCGGGAGAGTGAGAGAATTCACCAGAGTCAGAGCGGGGAGCAGAACAGACAGATTAACGAAATACACTGCTGAGGGGAGCAGCGGGCGGCAGGAAAGGTCTGAGAGCCATGTGGGACCCTCACCCGGTGGCCCGGGACCGAACCGGTGCTGCAGAGGCTGCTGGCAGCTTCGCAACCCAGCGGTCAACTGCTGTGCCACCAGGGAGGCCCTACTTGAGGGTGTTTATAGCAACTCAGATTTTTGAGTTGCCAGGGCAGTATGTTTAAGTGATCTCTGAAAAGACAATTCCTGGTTTGTGACAACAGAATTAGATAACAGAATAACTTGAAGCCATTTGTAATCTTTAATCATCAAAATGGAGGGTTGCTCTTTGGGTTGTTAGGTGTGAGGCATGAAAAACTAAGAACTCTGTTGTAGCTGGATTTCCCTCACAGACAAGGAAAAAGTTCTTGATCATCGGTAATTAATATTTTGTGCTATACTATCACCATTTTTGACCCTGAAAGTGTTGAGAGTAAAAGCAGTAAGAACGATGATTGAGATCCAAGATTGCAGGAAAATTACTCACTTGGAAAGTCTTAGTGTAGAATTTAGTAAATTAAAATGTTTGACAGGTAACTAATCTTGGTTACTAATTCTTGGATATGAGTCAGATGGTTAAAACTCCTAACTTTAACATACTAAAGTTTTTTAAGTACTGTACTTCCCTACTGTTTAACCATATTTTGTTAACTTATTAATTTTTCTATTTTTATGCTTATTTCAGCGATCTCGGATTCAGGTGTGGCTTTATGAGCAAGTGAATATGCGGATAGAGGGCTGTATCATTGTGAGTACCCACGATATTTTATCTCAGCAGTTTGTTCACTGACAACTATTTCATAGAAAGTGACCAGCCAGAGCAATGTACAAAAAGTTAAAACCCAACCCAGGAAGACTTTTGCAAGGCCCACTGTCCTTATCTGATTGTCCTCCTTAATAGAAACTGAGCAATACAAAATAGAGGGAAAATTAACTTTCAAAAATTATTTAAACAACAGTGTTATTTGAAATAGGAGACAAAAGAAATAAAGTGGGATGGGGTGAGGATTAATGGAAGATTAGTCCTGAATACAGCAAGGTGAGGTTAAATTTACTTAACCTTTGGCACATTGAGTACCCTAAATAGTGTTTTAAAGGAAGATAAAATATGGCTGAAAGCATCATGTGAACTCAGTTTCCATTAATAATCACCCCCTTTCCTATTTAGTGGTTAAAATGGTGGCAGTTAGCAGTGTTAGTGTTTTGTGGGGGAACACGGAAAGTGTGGGAGTAGTAGCAATTAATTCATACATGCACACATTTTATTTTGAGCAGGTTATTAAAAGATAGAGAGTGACTCTTTGGCATAGCTGTTGAAATCTTTTATGTCCAAAATCTTCCGGAAGGAATTTGGAGTGCATTAGACTTTCTTTGTTATTTAAAAAGAGACCAAGGAGGCTGTGTTGCAACTGAAAGATGAGTGAAGTTAGTTATCATTTCAATATCCAAATAGGCATATTCATTTAAAATGGTTTGAATGTGATCTTATTTAAAGATGACGGTCAGTTGGTTTGTTTTTCTAGGGTTTTGATGAGTATATGAACCTCGTATTAGATGATGCAGAAGAGATTCATTCTAAAACAAAGTCACGAAAACAACTGGGTAAGAATATCAACGGCCTTAATGAATTGTGACATTTTTATTCACTGGCAGAATTGAATGACTTGTGACTCAGTCCATGATTAAACCTAGTTTGCATTTGAGTAGTTAGTATTCGGGAAAGTAGTATACTTTTGAAATCATTCTCTACCACTTACTCCTTGTCCGCTCCATTTCTACTACTGTCTCTCCATTCAGACAGCTCACACCAAGATCACTAAAGATTTATTAGTGGTGTCCTTTTACTTGTAGGATAAGAAAATATTTAATGCATTCACAGCTCCTTCATGATACGTTCTTATCTCCCTTTGCTTGTTTTGTAACACACTGCCTCATTTTCTGAACTTTTTTTTTTTTTTAAGATTTATTTATTTATGCATACAAGAACTGAGGTATAGGCCAGAGGTGTGGGGGCTGAGAGGGCAAGACAGGAGAGATCTGCTGCACCATATGGGTCAGCTCCATGGCCGGCCGGGGATTGAACTCGTGCTGCAGTGGCTGGCAATAGTGTGATAGCTCTGTCTTTAACACATGCCACCAGGGAGACCCCCATTTTCTGAACTTTTGCCATATTTGTTTTCTTTGAGCCCTTTGAATTGCCCTGCCATAAGTCCTGAAGTGTCTTTAGGACTCAGATCAAATGTTAGTCCCCCCCTGAGTTGTTTTGGTTTTACTTGGAGTGGGGAGGGGGAGGACAGGGTGTGCTCTGTAGCAAAACTCTGTCCGCTAGACCAGATTCTTCATAAATGCACGAGTCATGTCTCTTGCTCTCTAATATGCTCAGTGCTCAACTCAGTAAGGCACTGCCTGGCATTTAGTTGAAACTCAAAAGTATTTGAACTGTGGATATAATTTTTTAACCCAGTTGATAAAGAGTCTTTAGAAATATAAAGCCTATCTAGACAAATTTATTTCTGTTACTGTCCAATTAACTTGAAGTTTGCTGAGCGTCCACACTGAATACCCTGGTTCATGGCTCGCTAGCCATTTTATTACAGTGGGTTTCAGGTATCTCTTTTTTCCTGACTCTGAGGATGCAGGAGTCTGGTAGATAAGTAAGAGTAGATTTTTGAGAAGTGAGAGAATATTTTACTATGCTTTTTCCTGCTTAGGCCATTTTAGATGGAAATTGGAATATTTCAAATTTAAACATACCTTGCCACAAGGACAAGCTAGCCTTACGACGTGTTTGTAAGTTACTTGCAAAATGTTGAGTTTCCATGGAAATGCCCACCTGTAGAATAGGCTTAACTTGCTCTTGTAGGAGACTGGTGAATTTAACCACATTTGAGGTTGATTAGCATCTCTCAGAGTGTTTACTGACTACAGGTGTCCTAAAGATTATGGATACTTCTCAGGAAAAAAGTGTCCTCTTTTCACATAAGTTTAGGAAATGTTGGATAAAACAAACAGCTTTGTTTATTTCTGGATGAAACATAGGTTTGTTATATCAGGGCAAAGTTTTTAATAAGAGTTCTAAGAGTTGGGTTTACATGCTGCAGTCACTAAATTTGGCATAAGACTAACTCATTTTCAGTTTTACAGAAGCTCAGAGCATGGGGAAATTTGGGGGGTAGACTGTTCAGTTGACTTAGTGTCTGGATATTGTACTGTTGATAAAATAATCTGCCTTCATTAGGTCGTGGTTGAAATTGTACGAGTGCTCTGATATGCACACCTTTCAGAACGTGGATACGTGAAAATATTCACAGATTTCATGAGAGAAGTCATTGTCAAAATGTTGCTTGAGAGCAATCCAAAATACTGAGGCTAAAAAGTGGTTGCACGATTGTCTGGGTGGCTATTAATAGTTCTTTTTTTTATTATTTTGTATTGCAGGTCGGATCATGCTGAAAGGTGATAACATTACCCTGCTCCAAAGTGTCTCCAACTAGAAAAGATCAATCAAGTGAGGGATGGTTGAGAAGATAATTCAGTTAGCTTTTTTTACCTGTTCTTTATTGGGACGATAGTTCTGAAGCATTTGTTCCTATTGTTTGGATAACCCTTATGTTATTACCAGATGGCAATAAATTCTGTGGAATTGTTTTTATTTAAAAATTGACATTGTTTCTTTCTATCCAGTGGTAGAAACGTGTACAACAGCACTGCTAGCTGTTAGTGTTTATGGTTTCTGAAGGTTGGGAGTTGTTGGCAGTTGCTTTCTAGGAGGTTGACATATAGATTCTTAAGGCAGAAAGTAAGAATTCTACCTGATAGGAAAGTGGCTGAAAATGGGCAGGTTCACAAAAATAAACAAAGGTTGTTGCACTAATACAAGTCTTTGTCTTCAGTTCTGATGCTGGAAGACTAGCGTTTCTAACCATTTTATTTGTTTATTTATTTTTAGAGATTTGTTTATTTATGCATACATGAACTGGGGTACAGGCCAGAGGTGGGGGTGGTGAGAGGATTCACCAGAGACAGAGTGGGGAACAGAACAGGCAGATTGACTGAAATACACTGCTGAGTGGGGGACAGAAAAGGCAGATTGACTGAAATACACTGCTGAGGGGAACAGTGGGCGAGACAGGAGAGGTCTGCCTCACCATGTGGGTAGCTCCCTGGCCAGGGATTGAACTCTGTGCTACAATGACTGCGGATAGCTTCATAGGTTGTGTCTTAACACTTTGCACCACCAGAGAGGCCCTCTAACCATTATAATAACTGCAGTATTTGCTTAGCACTCTCATAGAGTCAGTGCTTGAGGACTTTGAGACTCTTTTACCACCAGGATCAGAATGTGAGAGAAGTAATTGCATACAGGCAAAGAATGAAGTCCCTTGAAAGTACCTTAAAAACAAGCTCAGCTGAGAGTTAATGGAAGACTGAGATTGGTAACCTGAAAATGCCCTTACCCAGAACTGGTAAGTTGTTAGGGAGAATAAGTATATTACTTGGAGAACTGCCTATCTCATTTTTTTCTTTCTTTCTTGTTTTTTGTATTTTGTTTTTTACATTTTAAAAGGACAGGTTTATTAGGAAAAGGAGAAAGAAAAAGAGGCACCTGCATAGTCACAGGAGAGCTGCTGCTGCTTTGCAAAGGGAAAAGCTTTGTGAAAAAACACCTGCATAGTCACGGGCGCGCAGGAGAGCTACTACCTGTCTCTAAATGTAGGGTACCCTCCCAGTAATCTCGTATTTTTTCATTGGACAAATCTCCCCTCACCCAGTTTTTAGGTTAGATTGAATTATAATTCTGTTAAATGACAATTAGGCATCTGCTGTTAAGTGCACAGTTGAATACATTTGGTGAAACTGACAAATGGCATGCTAAGTTGTTGTTTAAACTGGATCCTAAAAGATGAATAAGGTTTGGACCTCCCCTGGTGGCGCAGTGGTTGAGCGCTGAGGTGCGAAGCTGCCTGCAGCCTCTGCAGCACCATTCAATCCCCGGCCACCGGCCAGGGTCCCACATGGCAGGACAGACCTCACCTGCCATGCCTGCTGCTCTCCTTAGCAGTGTATTTTGTCAGTCTGCCTGTTCTGTTCCTCGCTCTGGCTGTGGTGAATTCTCTCACCCTCCCGTGCTTCTGACTGTACCCAGTGCTTGTATAAATAAATAAATCTTTAAAAAAAAAAAAAAAAGGTGAGTAAGGTTGCCTTCAGTTCCTCTGATAGGTAGCATTACTGAGGATGGCTGAGGAAGGACCGAAAGTCCACTTCCTGCTTTTCAAGTGCCTGTGAAGTAGAAATAGAACTTCTGGTCAAGCTGAGTAAAAGAAACCCTTCGTGAGCCAGAGGAGGTTTGTAGGTGAGTGTAGAAACCAGTTCAGCTTCAAATGTGGGTTCCTGCTGTTCCTCTGTTACTTGAACTTTTCCCTTCATGGTCACATTTTGCAATAAAGGGCCACTTGAACTCCTTTAACATTGAGTTAAATTCACTGAGCCTGCTGTGGCGTGTAAAGAAAATACCGGGCAGCAGAGGGAGTTGCAGCCTATAGGCTGCTTGAGCCTTTCTGCTGAAAAGATTTCAGCTTTTTCAGAGCAGAGCAAAGACCTCCCTGCAGCTTTCTTGGCACCAAAATAGCTGGGAAGAAGGATAAAAGCTGGAGCAGTATAATCCCTAAGAAAACCTGCTGGCTGCTTTTCCACTTCCCTCTGCTGCTTTTCTTACCTGGCTGCACTGTGTAAGCAAAGCTGTGCCTGCTGTGGCTTACTCTGAATGGATCAACACGTGAGAGTTTCTATTTCCGGCAGCAAATGATGATAGTGAGAAATAAGGTAGAGTGAACTCTTACAATCAAGCTGTATTTAGAAATGTCCATTTGCTTTCCTGTGCTCCTGGAGCCTGTGGTGTTTGCTTTTTGAGTTTTATTTTTCCACAATCTGTCAATTCTTCCAACTAGAATTTGTATTACAGGAGGCGTTGCTCTCTGCTTCATTAAGGTTATTAAAACATGCTGCTGGGAAGCTGCTCTTGTTGGCAGCCCTTGGAATGTGAGCAATTATTTTTCTGGAATGGTTGTTGGTTTCTGAGGGGGGGGGTCTTGCTAACCACCCACTAACTCTCTTGAAGGGAGAGTGGGGTTGGAGGAGAATCAGGCTCTTAAAGAAAAGTGTGATGTGGGCCTGATATTCTACTAGTAGTAAGGAGAAAGAAGGAAAAGAATGATTGGAAAACCCTAGGGTTTTGTGTTTGCAGACTCCAGCTCTTGTCCTATCTGTCACAGTTTCCAGATCTCTATCTAATTTGACTTAAGGCGTATTGGTCAGGAATTGCCATGGGCAGCTCCTGGGGATGCTCAGCTGGCAGCATCTTATGTTAACAGGATAATAGAGCTTTCCCTTAATGACTTCTAGAGCGAATGGTGTGCTTATGAGATGTTGGTAAAGCTTTTATTAAGGCGTCATGAGAACTTGATTAGTAGCTAGAGTTTAAAAATTATATCCAACAGGACTTTAAAAGTTTTCATTGAAAGATATTAGCTTAGTACGTTGATAATCAACATACAAACAGTTAACAAAGATAGAAAGCAGAAAACAAAAGTCATGTAACATGCAAAGTTATAAAGCTGGAAAGCACAAAAATCCTCCCTTCCCCCACCAATACTCTTCACAAATAACCATAATAATAGTTAGGTGCTTATCCTTTTAAGCTTTTGACAAACATGTATAGTTGGGCTTGTTTTCTCATTTGGATTTTTTTTCTTTTTTTCTTTTTTAAGATTTATTTATTTGTTTATTTATTTATTTATACAAGCACTGGGTACAGTCAGAAGCGCAGGAGGGTGAGAGAATTCACCAGAGCCAGAGCGGGGAGCAGAGCAGGCAGAAGGACCAAAGTACGCTGCTGAGGGGAGCAGTGGGCGGCAGGAGAGGTCTGGGTGGCAGGAGAGGTCTGCGCGCCATGGTGGGACCCTCCTCCAGTGGCCGGGGAGCAGCTGGGGATCGAACCAGCGCTACAGAGGCTGCGGGCAGCTTCGCAACCCAGTGCTCAACCGCTGTGCCACCTGGGAGGCCCTTTTTCTTTTTTTAAAAGTAATTTTGAAAATTTATGATAAAATCACTACCTATTAAATAATTTTCTCTTTTCCTCCATCCACCCTCTGGCAGCTACCATCCTACTTTATGTTTCTGTGAATTTCATGACTCTAGATATGCATATAAACAAATCCTCATAAATATCTTTGCAACTGGCTACCTTCATTTAGCATATATGTCCTGATGATTCAAACCACTATAGAATGTGTAAATGTCCTTTTTAATGACTGAATACTCCATTGTATGTATAGACCACATTTTCTGTATACATTCAGCTATTGATGGATACTTGGGTTGCTCCAGCCTTTTGGCTGTTGTGAATAGTGATGCTCTAGAATCTTCAAGATTCTGCTTTCAATTCTTTTGACTACACATCCAGAAATTTCTTTGAAACTTGACAGCAGCTACACCATTTTGAATTCCAACTTCTCCACATCCTCAAGACTTATTTTCTGGTTTTTTTGCCAGCACCCATCCTGATGGGTGTCAGTTGTTAAGCAGTTTGATTGTTGAGTTGTAGTTCTTTACATACTCTAGATTTTAACCTCTTATTAGAATTTGATTTGTAGATATTTTCTCCCATTTGGTGGGTTGCCTTTTCACTCTATTATAGATTTTGATTTTTGATGCACTGAAGTTTTAAGTTTAAATTTTGATATAATCCAATTTATCTCTTTACCTCTTTGTTGCCTATGCTTTTGGTGTTGAAAGTATTTTTACTTATTTTTTTTTCAAGATTTATTTTATTTATTTATGCATATAAGAACTGAGGTCTAGGCCAGAGGTACAAGGGCTGGGGGCAGAGGGTTCACCAGAGACAGAGCTGGACTGAAATACACTGCTGAGGGAAGCAGCGGGCAAGACAGGAGAGGTCTGCTGCGCCATGTGGGTCAGCTCCCTGGCCAAGTATTGAACTCATGCTGCAATGGCTGCCTAGATAACTTGATAGCACTGAAACTTCAACCCCTGCGCCACCAAGGAGGCCCCTGTATTTCTGCATGCTCTTCAACTTGCTCATATCAGCAAAACTTTGACATATTTACGTGTTAAGTAGCTATTATGTACTTCATTGTATTAATCTCTCAATTTAAGAAAACATTCCGGGTCTCCTCTGGTGGCGCAGTGGTTGAGTGCTGGGCTGCTGGTTCGATCCCCGGCCACCGGCGAGGGTCCCACATGGCGCGCAGGCCTCTCCTGCCGCTCCTGCTGCTCCCCTCAGCAGTGTATTTCATCGGTCTTCCTGTTCTGTTCCCTGCTCTGGCTCTGGAGAATTCTCTCACCCTCCCACGCTTCTGACTGTGTCCAGTGCTTGTATAAATAAATAAATAAATCTTAAAAAAAAAAAACCAAAACATTCCTCTGTTGATGGATATTTTATTACCAGCTGTTTTGCTGTTAAAAAAAAGTTTTGTAATGAACATCTTTTATACCTACTTTTGCCCACTTACATGTTTTTCTGAGGTGAATTCTTAGAAGTGGAATTGCTAGATTAAAGGATATGCATAAAAAAAAAAAATAAAGGATATGCATAGTTTTAAAAATTCTGTAGATAGGGTGGGGTAGGGAAAAAAATTCTGTAGACTCCTCTAAACTGCCTTCGAAAGTGCATGGGGGGAAATTGTTTTCCTCACACCAGCCAATCATCAGACAGTTGTTTTAATGAGATTTACTTACTTGAAGCTGGTATGAAATAATCACTGCCAACATCCTAAGGATACCAGAGTGGAAAAACGGAAAAAACTTGGTGTTCAATGACTTTTGAGCTACTGAATTAATCAGCTCAGGAACTTCCCTGCCACCAAACTTGTTATGTGAGAGAATAAATTTCCGGGTTGGGTTTTGTCACAACAAAAGCATTATAACTGAGAACAGTGTCACAACACTGTTCTGACAGTGGATCATTTGCTTAGAAAAATTGTTAAATGTCATAGTTGAGAAAGTTGGCAACTGAAGTGATAACTTTGGACAATATGGTAGAATAGAAATAAGTAGTTGTGACTGATTTTATTCAATAAAGCAGTAAATTTTGTTTCCTTCCCTTGTTAAGAAAATAATTCCTGAGAAAGATGACCATCATCCATCATTCCATGTCCATAGAAACTGCTGTCTCTGGAGTATTAGCAGATTAACCTCGTCCCCAGAGCCTTCTGAATTAGAGATGTTTTGCTGGGCTGGGAAATTGCAGTGGGAAACGGGAGAATAAACAAATGAATGCTCTTCCTGATGTACTGCCGCGTTACAAGACAGAGGATTGGACAGTAGAAGAGGAATAGGGTAAGAGTATTTTATCCAGGAAAACAGTCACTTTAAGATTCTATTCCTTAAAATAATAAGTTTGGTAGGGTATTATTTTTCACCAATGTCAATTTTTATTGGATGTTGATATGTGCTAGATAGAGTAAATCATATATAATCTAGTCCATCAAAGATATGGCGAAGTGGTGAGATGTTGAGGGAAAGATTACCCTGAAGTCCAGTGTACCTGGATTTAATCCCAACTTAGTTTTTTGTTTATTTTTTAAGATTTATTTTTTATTTATTCAAGAACTGAGGTACAGGCCAGATGTGTGGGAGGGTGAGAGGATTCACCAGAGACAGAGTGGGGAACAGAATAGGCAGATTGACTGAAATACACTGCTGAGGGGAGCAGCGCATGAGGCAGGAGAGGTCTGCTGCGCCATGTGGGTAGCTCCCTGGCCGGGGATCAAACTCGTGCTGCAGTGGCTGTGGATAGCTTCATAGGTTGCATCCTAACCCCTTGCACCACCAGGGAGACCCTAAATCCCAACTTTGAAGTTAACCCAAATATGTGAATCTTAGTTTCATAGGGTTGTTGGATTAATTTCATGAGATAATACATAAGAAAGCACCTTAGCAATGTCAGGTATACGCAAGTATTTTTGTAATTATAGATCATTTGCTAGGAATGTATGTAGGGAAAATATAAATTCATCCCATACAGAACAAAACATAATTTTTGGAATTTTTTTAAAATCAAGTTTATTGAGATAGAATTTGTATTTGTATATTTTGATAGTTGGCAAATATATAGATGTGTAGTGT